CCCTTAAAGAAAACCAAGAAAAAAACCAATCAAGCAAGTGAAGGAAACGATTCAAGACATGACATCTGAAGTAGAAGAAGTAAAGAAAACACAAACTGAGGGAATTCTGGAAATGGAAAATCAGGGTAAAAAATAAAAAATCACGAACCAAAAATGCAAGCATAAACAACAAGAGATGGAAGAGAGAATTTCAGGCACTGAAAATAATTTGGAGGAAATAGATTCATCAGTCAAAAAAAAAAAAAAAAAAAAATCAAACCCAACAAATTCTCAACACAGAACAGGCAGGAAATCTGGGGCACCATGAAAAGACCAAACCTAAGAATAATAATGATAGGAGAAGAAGTCCAACTCAAAGACATAGAAAACATGTTCAACAAAATCATAAAAGAAAACATCCCCAACCTAAAGAAGGGCATGCCTGTGAAAATACAAGAGGCTTACAGAACACCGAATAGACTGGACCAAAAAAAAAAAGATACCCCTCACCACATAATAATCAAAACAATGATCATACGGAATAAAGAAAGAATATTAAGAGTTGCAAAGGAGAGAGGCCTGGTAACATATAAAGGCAGACCTATCAGAATTAGACCTGACTTCTCAATGGAAACAATGAAAGCCAGAAGGTGCTGGACAGACGTTAGGCAGATACTAAGGGACCATGGATGCCAGCCCAGACTACTTCACCCAGCAAAGCTTTCAATAACCATTGATGGAGAAAACAAGATATTCATTATAAAACCAAAATTAAACAATATCCACAAACCCAGCCCTACGGAAAGTACTAGAAGGAAAATGCCAACCCAAGGAAATCACTTATGTCCACAAGAACACAGGAAATAGATGAGCTTACAGCAGCAAACCCCAGAGAAGGGAACTGAACATGCAATGCCATCACCACCAACAAAAACAAAAATAACAGGAACTAGCAATCACTGCTCATTAATATCCATCAGTATAAATGGTCTCAGTTCATCTCTAAAAAGACACAAGCTAACAGACTGAATATAAAAGCAGAATCCATCCTTCTGCTGAGTACAAGAAACACACCTTAAATTCACAGACAGGCGTCACCTCAGTGTAAAGGGTTGAGAAAAAATTTTTTCCAATCAAATGGACCTAAGAAACAAGCTGGTGTAGCTATCCTAATATCTAACAAAATAGACTTCAAACTAAAATCAATCAAAAAAGATAAAGAAGGGCATTTCCTATTCATCACAGGAAAAATCCATCAAAAGGAAATCTCAGTTCCAAATATCTATGCCCCAAACACAATTTGTAAAAGAAACATTACTAAAGCTTAAATCACAAACCAAGCCCCACACACTAATAGTGGGAAACTTCAACACCCAGCTCTCACTACTGAACAGATCTGCCAGACAGAAGCTTAACAGAGAAATAAGGGAACTAACAAATGTTATGACTCAAATGGACTTAACAGACATCCATAGAACATTCCACCCCAACACAAAAGAAGATAGTTTCTTTTCACCTCCTCATGGAACCTTTTTTAAAAAATTGGCCACATACTTGGTAACAAAGCAAACAACAGATACAAAAAAAAGAAAGAAAGAAAGAAAGAAAGAAAGAAATTGGAATTAACCCTGTACCCTATCAGATCACCACAGCTTAAAGTTAGAATTCAACATCAACATTAATTTCAGAAAGCCCACAAACACATGGAAATTGAAAAATGATCATCTGTACCACCACTGGGTCAAAGAAAGAAATAAAAGACATCTGTTTTAATGAAAATGACCACACAGCATACCCAAACTTATGGGACACAATGAAAGCCTTGCTGAGAGGAAAGTTCAGAGCTCTAAATGCCTACATGAAGAAGCTGGAGAAACCCCACACCAATGAATTAACAGAACAACTGAAAGCTCTAGAACAAAAAGAGGCAAACTCATCCAGAAGGAGTAGATAGCAGAAAATAGTCAAATTGAGGCTGAAATCCACACAATAGAAATAAAGAAAACAATGCAAAGAATCAATGAGACAAAGAGTTGGTTCATTGAGAAATTCAACAAAATAGACAAGCCTTTGTCCAAACTAACCAAAAGACACAGAGAGAATATTCAAAGTGACAAAATCAGAAATGAAAAGGGAGACATAACATCAGACACTGAGGAAATCCAGAGAAGCATCAGGTCATACTTCAAAAACCTGTACTCCACAAAATTGGAGATGGACATTTTTCTAGATAAGTACCATATACAAAAATTAAATCAAGAACAGATAAATAACTTAAACACACCTATAATCCCTAAGGAAATAGGAAACAGTTATCAACAGTTTCCCAGTCCCAGATGGATTCAGTGCAGAATTCTACCAGATGTTCAAAAAAGATCTAGAACCAACACTCCTCAAATTATTCAATAGAAACAGAAGAAACATTGCCAAACTCTTTTTATCAGGCCACAGTTACCCTGATACCCAAACCACACAAAGACACAACTAAGAGAATTACAGACCAATTTTCGTCATGAACATAGATGCAAAAATGTTCAATAAAATACTAGCAATCCGAATTCAAGAACACATCAGAAAAATCATCCACCATGACCAAGTAGGCTTCATCCCAGAGATGCAGGGATGGTTCAACATACAAAAATCCACCATGTAATCCACCATTTAAACAAACTGAAAGAAGAAAAACCACATGATCATCTCACAAATGCTGAAAAAGCCTTCGACAAAATTCAACACCTCTTTTTGATAAAGGTCTTGGGCAGAATAGGGATGCAAGGAACATACCTAAACATAATAAAGGCAATATACAGGAACCCAACAACCAACATCAAACTAAATGGAGAGAGATCAAAGTAACTCCACTGAAATCAGGAACAAGACAAGGCTGGCCACTCTTTCCATATTTCTTCAATACAGCACTCAAAGTTCTAGCTATAGCAATAAAAGGAAATCAAAGGGATGCAAATTGGAAAAGAAGAAGTCAAACCTTTCCTACTTTCTGATGATACAATGAATTCTAGAAACCAGAAATCAAACTACCAAATAATCCAATTAAAAATGGGGTACAGATCTAAACAGAGAATTCTCAGCAGAACAATCTCAGATGGTGGAAAGACACTTAAGGAAATGCTCAACATCTTTAGTCATCAAGGAACTGCAAATCAAAACCACTCTGAGGTTCCATCTTACACCATCAGAATGGCTAAGATAAAAAAAACCCTAATGACAGGTTATGCTGCAGAGGATGTGGAGAAAGGGGGACATTCCTCCATTGCTGGTGGGAGTGCAAACTTGTACAGCCACTGTGGAAATTTGTATGGCGATTTCTCAGAAAATTAGAGATCAACCTATCTCAAGACCCTGCAATACCACTGTTGGGCATATACCCAAAGGAGGCACATTCACACACAAGGACATTTGTTCAACTATGTTCATAGCAACAGTATTTGTGATAGCCAGATCTTGGAAACAACCTAGATGCCCCCCAACTGAAGAATGGATAAAGAAAATGTGATACATTTATACAATGGAGTACTCAATGGTAAGAAACAATGACATCCTAAAATTCACAGGCAAATGGACTGGAAAAACTCTATCCTAATTGAGGTAACCCAGACCACAAAGACAATTATAGTATAGTATGTACTCATAAATGGATACCAAACCTAACACAAAAGATACCCAGCCTATAATCCATAACTTCAGAGAAACTTGAACCTTCTTCCAGAAACAGATGGAAGCAGATGCAGAAATCCACAATTAACCTGTGGGCCAAGATCCTGGAGTACAATTGAAGTGAGGGAGGAGAGATAATATAAACAAAGGAGTCAAGATCATGATGGGGAAACCCAGAGAATCAGCTGACCCGAGCTACTGAGAGATCACTGACTCAGGTCTGACAAAGGGGAACCTGCATAAGACCGAACTAGACCCCCTCAATATAGGTGACAATGGTGTGACTGGGACAATATGTGAGTTCACTGGCAGTGTCCAAGCTCTAACACTCATGCACAGACTGACTCAGTGGAGCCCATTCTGTATGGAGAGACACCTTGCTCAGCCTAGACGGGGCGTCGGGGTGCAGAGGTGCCTTGGTCCTGCCTCAACAACTTGATGGGACAGAAAGGGGAGGCCTTGCCCGCTCTGTGTAGCAGATGGGAGGAGGGGGAGCCGAGGAGGGAGGGGGAACTGGGGTTAGAATGTAAAAAATAAGTTCATAATGATAAAAAACCCAAAGTGAGTAGTGACTGAGGAAGATACCCGAGGTTTAACTCCAGGCTCCACATACGTGTGCACATGTGTGTACATGAACCAGGACACTCACATATACCTGAGCGCACTACACACACACACACACACACACACATGCATGCATACACACGCATGCACGCACACACATGCACACACGCATGCACGTGCGCGCGCACGCACACACGCACACGCACGCACGCACATGCACGCACGCACACACATGCATGCACGCACACACACGCACACATACATGCACACACTCACACACACGCATGCACACACACGCATGCACGCGCGCACACACATGCATGCACGCACACACATGCACACACACGCATGCACGCACACACACACACGCGCACACATGCACGCACACACACGCACACACACATGCACGCACGCACACACACGCACACACACGCACACGCATGCACACACACACACACACACACACAGTCAGTAAGCAAATGGATCAGAAGTGGAGGAGAACCTGTATCCTGGAAGGGGCGAGTGCACGGGCCGTGCGATTTCCAAACACTTGACTCTTCTCCCTTTGGCTGTGGGTGGTGTTTATATCTTTTGACTTGGCAATTAGCCGAACCTCATCCCCACTTCGGCAAAGTAATAGCTAATCGTGCTGGGTCTACAGAGGTCACTGATTATGTGAAAACACGTTAGAAATGGGAACAAGCATTTGACGGCCAGTCAAGGACCAACTATGCAGGGTTCTCTGCCAACTGCGACTGAAACATTTTCCCTCTCGCTTCCAGACTTGCAACCTTATTTCTTGAACGCGGGCCCAACCGGATAGGCGGCATCTACAAGAAGGCGGTTTACAGACACTTCACAGATGGCAGCTACTCCACGGAGATCCCCAAGCCCCCCTGGCTCGGGTTCCTGGGCCCCATCCTGAGGGCAGAAGTGGGCGACGTGATCGTTATCCACCTGAAGAACTTCGCTTCCAGACCTTTCTCGTTGCACCCGCATGGCGTCTTCTACAACAAGGATTCCGAAGGTGACGCTCCCGGTTCCTACTTCACCAGGGCGATAAGTGACAGACACCACACAGTGCAAAAAGCACTGATTCTGAAGCCCACCGTCTCCCTCTGCTCTCCCTACCCCGGCCTGTCGTTTCTTTCCACTCTTTTCCTCCCCTTTATCCCTTTTCCCGCTTCCTTTTTTAAGGGAGTCTCGCGTAGCTGAGGCTGGCCCTCCAGACTCCACTCCACGCTGGCGGAAGGCAGCCTCTCCTGTCTGTAGTGGCAGTGCGGGCTGTGCGGTGGCTGTCTGGGAGCTTTCCCTGGGGTTCCCTCTGTGGGGCATCCCTGTCCTCCTTCTTGGCCCTCAAGAGTTCCCTCATTCCTCATCAGTTTACAAAATGAAGCACTGTGGTGCTGGATTTTCGGAATAGGAAGATTTTCCAGCTGTCAGAAGGGCATGTGTTTGTAACTGCTAGTTTGTCCTCACGGTAACAGATGCGTACGATGAACCAACTCCTAAAGAGAAAGGATGCCTTTGGCTTCCACTTGAGCAGGTTCAGTCATGACCGACTGCTGGGTCCTCGCCCTGGGATGCTGTGCATCCCAACATGGAACCGGGGCCTGGCAAAGGCACTTCTTCATGGGCGAGAGGGGAAAAGAACTGAGTCGGCTGTCCCCTCCCCGTCCACTGTGACCTCAAGACCTTCCATTAGGCTCTACCTCAGCTCTGCCAAAGGGACATGCCCTTCCCTCAGGAGAACAAGCCTTTGACATTACCGACATTTCAGGCCCACCATGCAATGGTGGCACCCACTTCAGGTACCTCACTTAACCCAGTTAAGGCAACCTCTCCTAGGCATGCTCACAGGCGAGTGTCCCTACAGCCTATCAAGTCCACATGAGTGCTGGCCTTGCCACAGTGTAGCTCAGTTGACGAGCACTTGTCTAGCATGCACGAAGCGCCTTTGTTTCCTAGCACCTCATGGAGGTGGAGTACGCCTGTAATCCTAGCACCGTGGAGGTACAGATAGGAGGACCGGGGATGGAGGCTAGCCTGGGCTACATGTGCAGTGTGTGTATGTGTGTGTGTGTGCGCGCACATGTGTAGTAAAAATATATTTATATCACAAACCCTTCAGACCATCTGCGAAGGTCATAAGCCTCCAACTCAGAAAAATAGATTTGCTCAAAGTCAGTTGGAGGTATTACTAGAACCACTGAAGTCCTCCGTAGGTCCCTGCACAGGAAGCCATCTCTGGGCCCTGTCTTATATGTGCCTCCTATATTGGGGCCCATTGGCTCATTACATAGCACTTACCAAGCTGTTACAATAAAAGAGACCTTTTGTTTTCTCTTGCTCTTTGTACCTGTCTCAACCTTAGAAGGTAGGTTTCCCTGGGTGGGGGGAGGGCAGAGACCAACCTGGGTTGTTCTGGGCACTGTCCCTAGATCCTGACCCGGGGCTTGGTAAGTATTCTCTTATACAGCAAGTACCTCCCCCCACACAGGTCGGTATTATCATTTTATAAATAAGAAATCAAGGTCCATGCGGAAGTGCGTGGGCCACGTCCTTACAGCTGGTGACGGTCGAGTTGTGTTTGATGACGTTGCCTGTCACCTGTCCCCCCAATTGCTGCACACGAGTCCCTTGCCTTGTCCTCCCTGTGTACAGATGTAGCACACACACCTTGGCCCTTAACCCCGCTGGGGCTCTTGTTAAAACTCAGTGTAATAACCAGGCCAGGCCCTCCCTCCATGTGATTATGGGCCATTGGTGAACGCTCTATTTTCTTTTTAGAAAGTGTTGCTTGGTAGCTCAGGTCAGCCTTGAACTTGGGATCCTCCTGCCTCATGAGTGTGGGGTTATAGGCATGCCACAGTTTTCACAGATGTCTGCTCCCTCCCTCCCCTCCCTCCCTCCCTTCCTCTTTTTGGATGGCCTCTCCGTAGTGTATAGAAACAGAGTTGATTTTGTGGACTGGGCATGTGTCTTCCTGCCCGGGTAAACTTGTTCATTAGTAGGTTCCCTGAACTTGAAAACACAGCATCGTCATGACTAAAGATGAGTAGCCCTTTTCTTGCCAACCTTTAGAGCTTTAATTTTCTTTTCCTTATTAAACTGGCAAAGCTTCAGGGTAATATTAATAATAGTAGTGGCAAGAGTGGGCATTCTTGTCTTGTTTCGGTTTTTGAAAGAAAGAAATTGGTTTTCCTTTTCCCTGACCTTGATGTTAGCTGTGGAGTTTTCTTAGTTGCCTTTTATTGAGTTAACGAATAATTCCTAGGTGGCTGAGAGTTTTTCAAAAGAGTCCCGGGTGTCATTGGATTAATTTCTGTTTCTATTGAGGTGACTGTGATACTTGCCCTTGAATCTATTTATGTTTTATTAACTGATTTGTAACTTTGATGTCATGAAGACAACTCTTATTTGGCCATGAAATAGTAAATGTCTTAAGCATCTAAATATTAGTCTGCTAAAACTTTGCTAACATTTTTATGTCTACATTGTTGTGAGTAGTTTTCCCCACCAGCCTGGTCCCACCGCAGCACCAGCCCCAATTAACACACCGAGACTCTGTATTATATATAATGCTGTTGGCCATTACTAGTGTTTCTTATAGGTTAGCTCTGTTTTAATTATTAACCCATTTCTATTAATCTAAGTATTTCCACGTGGTCTCATCTTACCAGAGAGAGGGGCTGGCGCTCTAATCTCTCCGTCCTCCATCTTGACTCCTCCCTACTCCTTCCTCTCTCCTGCTTGTCTCCCAGTCCCGCCTATCTTGCTTTCCTATTGGCCAACAGTGCTTTATTCATTAACCAGTATGAGAAACATATTTACAGAATGACATCTCCCATCATTACATGAATATAGAATATTTTGTCTTATTGTGACATCACCATGGACTTTGATTGTACAGCTTCCAAGAGGCAGCTTTCAAAATTGTTACACTGGCCACTCTGCTCTGACAATCCCCCCCACACACACACACACATTTATTCTTTTGCTGAGTGCCTGTCTGTGAACTGTGCTTAAATCTGTCTAAAAACAATTTTTTAATAAACTGCAAAATACACTTTACTAAAAACAGCCCCTGCCCTCCCCCAGCGCTGTGCTCCTCCCCTCCTCCCGCGCTGTGCTCCTCCCCCTCCCCCCTCCTCCCGCGCTGTGCTCCTCCCCTCCTCCCTCGCTGTGCTCCTCCCCTCCTCCCGCGCTGTGCTCCTCCCCCTCCTCCCGCGCTGTGCTCCTCCCCTCCTCCCTCGCTGTGCTCCTCCCCTCCTCCCTCGCTGTGCTCCTCCCTCTCCCCCTCCTCCCTCGCTGTGCTCCTCCCCCTCCCCCCTCCTCCCGCGCTGTGCTCCTCCCCTCCTCCCTCGCTGTGCTCCTCCCCTCCTCCCGCGCTGTGCTCCTCCCCCCTCCTCCTCCCTCGCTGTGCTCCTCCCCCCTCCTCCCTCGCTGTGCTCCCTCCCCCTCCTCCCTCGCTGTGCTCCTCCCCCTCCCTCCTCCCACGCGGTGCTCCTCCCCCTCCTCCTCCCTCGCTGTGCTCCTCCCCCCTCCTCCTCCCTCGCTGTGCTCCTCCCCCTCCTCCTCCCTCGCTGTGCTCCTCCCCCTCCCTCCCTCGCTGTGCTCCTCCCCCTCCCTCCTCCCGCGCTGTGCTCCTCCCCTCCTCCCTCGCTGTGCTCCTCCCCCCTCCTCCCTCGCTGTGCTCCCTCCCCCCTCCTCCCGCGCTGTGCTCCCTCCCCCTCCTCCCTCGCTGTGCTCCTCCCCCTCCCTCCTCCCTCGCTGTGCTCCTCCTCCTCCCTCGCTGTGCTCCTCCCCTCCTCCCTCGCTGTGCTCCCCCTCCTCCTCCCTCGCTGTGCTCCTCCCCTCCTCCCGCGCTGTGCTCCTCCCCTCTTCCCGTGCTGTGCTCCTCCCCTCCTCCCTCGCTGTGCTCCTCCCCCCTCCTCCCGCGCTGTGCTCCTCCCCCTCCTCCCGCGCTGTGCTCCTCCCCTCCTCCCTCGCTGTGCTCCTCCCCTCCTCCCTCGCTGTGCTCCTCCCCTCCTCCCGTGCTGTGCTCCTCCCCTCCTCCCTAGGCGCCCGCCCTTTGGTCAGTTTTCTTCGCGGTCTAAGGAAAGGCTCTGGAGTCCTAGGCCTGGGAGTAAACGGGAACCAGACACTGCTGGCTGGGTAGCGCTGCCTACGACGAGGACGTGCACAGCAGCACCTGCCAAGCCTTGTGCAGGGGCAGAGTAGGGAAAGAGCTGGGAAGCTGATCTGGGCTTGGGACCAGCATCGTGCCTTACACTCACACTTTATTTGGGGTCCCGAACGGTAAGTCTTCCTCCTGTAAGCAGGCACCAGCGTTTCTGTGACGCTCCGGCCCCTCATTTCAGTGACAGACACCAGAAATTCCCTGTCAGGACAGCGCAAACGGGGAATCAAACACCTGGGATTCATATCCATGGGTGAGAGCAGGGATCCCAGTCGAAAGTTCCAGACAAGTGCCACACCTGTCAGTTCTCATCGATCCGCGCCCGTGTCCGTCCGTCCGTAAATCCTATCTCACTCATGAGGCTTTGGGTGAAGATACCACTAGGCAATGTCATAAACTCATTCTTTACTCAAAAGACATGTATTGGGCAGCCCTCGGGGCAGGCACCGGTTTAGATCCCGTGGCTACACCAGCGGGTGAGAATGAACCCTGGTCTGTGGCTCTTATAGCGTAGCATGGGAGCTGTGAATAAATGAAGTGGTTACACGCATTCTGTATGTCCCATTTATACATACGTGTTGACACTTGAGCAATGGTTTGACTAAACAATAGGCAGTGTTTCTTTTGATGATTACCACATGCCAGGCACGGTGTTAGGCTCTTTACATGTTTTGTCAACAAGCCTCCGTACCTTTATGTGGTAGGTATTTAATTTTCATCATTACAGTCTGAAATTCTTTTTTAAAAGGAGACATCCGTGTCACCTAGCTAAAACGTGGCATACAGGGGTTGTTCCTCGGCTGTCTAATGGCAGTGGCTCTAGAGAACTGATCTAGTTCAAGAGTTCGGGGCTGCTTGAGCCTGCCAGGCCTGATTGTGGAGATGCACATCCGTCTGACCGTCATGTCTGCCATGAGAAAGGCCGAGGGACGACTGAGCGGGGGACAGACAGACAGGAGATGCAGGAGGAAGGCCAGCTGGGAAGTGACCGCTGAAGCACACGTGACCGAGGGTGGCAGGCTGAATGAGCGCCGTGACGGGGGTGGGGTGGGGGTGGGTGGGCGCGGTGCAGGACAGAAGTGCACGGCCCCAGGAAGCAGGGCTCTGTGTGTTTCAGCGAAGACTGTGGCTTGGCTCCAGACCTGTGGCTTTGAGCTGCTGCCTTAGAGGAGGCTGGCTAGAGAGCAGGGTTTCCCAGCTCTCAGTCGGGGGTCGTTGAGCTCCCCTTGTTCTGGTCAGCTGTCTCTGGGTTTCTGTAGCCTGGTCTTGACCCCTTTGCTCATCACTTCTCCTTCTTTGCAACTGGATTCCAGGAGTTCAGCTCAGTGTTTAGCGGTGGGTGTCTGCTTCAGCTTCCATCAGCTACTGAATGAGGGCTCTAGGATGGCAGATAAGGTAGTCATCAATCTCATTATCAGGGAAGGACATTTAAGGTAGCCTCTCCACTGTTGCTCAGATTGTTAGTTGACCCCCAAAGCTTCTCTGTTGGGGCATCTCTCTTCAGCCTATAGACCCAGAATGTCTGGCAGACTTTTTGAAGGACCATCCTGTCCCTTGGCAAGTTCAGCAGTCACTTTTCTTTGTAACCTGCTTGTCCAGTTTGGACAGTGTGCTAGATGTCAGCAGTCCATACAAGAACAGTTCCTTGCCCAATCGGCCAGGCTTACCACCATAACAAGTTTCTCCAATGCCCATCTTCCTGTCTGATGTAATTAGTGTTGCCAGGAGAAGTTGTGTCTCGTAGTCATGAAAAACCCTAATAAACAATTTTAAATGCCACATTCTGTAGATCTTTGAAAGGTTTTGAAGAATAACTACCCATTTGAAATATATCTAGGAAGCCTGACTAATATAACTTAAGTTTCACTATTATAGGTGACTGTCTATAATCTGTATTTAATTATACATTACAGTTTAAAGAGTTGTATAAACACAATACCTAAACAAGAGTAGAAATACACATCCTACAAAATTGACCTTAAAGTTGCATCAATAAACCAAAATCCATAACAATGCAAAGTATTCATTTCTATATCATATTCCTTTTTTTCTTTAGAAAGAGATGGACTGTGATCATTCACCATTTACAACCAATTCTGTTTAAATGAAAACAAACATTTATCAACAATGTTTGGGAATTTTGTCATAGCTCTCTCCAAACTGCTCCCTGCTCTTTGGGGGTTCGGTCAATGCTCAGGGACCCAGAACCATGGCCAAACCCTGGCTGTAGTGGTCTGCGAGGTGCACGATCTCAGCTGTTTTGGAAGTTGGATCATCTGGGCCACTGCTTCAGGCAGTCTGGCTTGATCAAACCATATTAGTCTGGAAGGAATCCACAGCTTTTCATTTTCTGTGGAAACAAAAGCAGAACCTCTTTTCCAGAGTAACATTTCCTTAAATTTAAAATTTGAGGTCAAGGCATTTTCAAAATATATGGGTTGGATTAGTTCAGCAGCATTGATAATCAAATGTCTTTTTTAGCAGCGGTTGCTCCTTCCCCAACAGTCAAACAGCTTAAAGACAGCACAATGACACACAGTATCCAGGCTCTCTGTGTATTTTCCATCTTTATGTGGCTTTTTATTACTATATTTATTTTCTTTTTTTCTTGTTTGTTTGTTTTCTGAGACAGGGTTTCTCTGTGTATCTTGGCTGTCCTGGAACTCACTCTGTAGACCAGGCTGTCCTTGAACTCACAGAGATCCACCTGCCTCAGCCTACGCAGCGCTGGGATTAAAGGCGTGCGCCACCACTGCCCAGCTACTGTATTTCTTTTTTAAGGACTTTCTCTGCCCTTATTCTTTTCTCTCCCGTCTATGTATATTTTTAAACACACTGTAACTGTTTAGAGGTCTTGTCTATTTTTTTTCATCTGGATCTGTCTTTACTGTACATCTCTATCTTTTTCTGACCACATGAGTCTTTAATCTGCTCAGCAGCATGGCTAGGGTTAAAATGCCGGTGGGCTCTGCCCATTTCTTCTCTTCCTGAGAGTGGAGGTACTGGTAGAAGCCATGTTCATTGCTACAACTGTGGAGTCTCTAGGTCCATGCTACCACCAGGAAGCATGCCACCGGTTGCTCAGAAACACCATTTCGGCGTCCAGGCCCTCTTTAAAGAGCCCTGCAGTTTTTGCCGCTAACACTGAGTCAGGAAGCTGACACCAAGAAGTCATGCTTGCCTCTGTCCTTTTGTTCAGAATCTTTTTAAGCCGGGCGTTGGTGGTGCACGCCTTTAATCCCAGCACTTGGGAGGCAGAGGCAGGCAGATCTCTGTGAGTTTGAGTTCAGCCTGGTCTACAGTGCTAGTTCCAGGACAGGCTCCAAAGCTAAAAAAAAAAAAAATCTTTTAAAAGATTTTGTCAGGTTTTATGTAGAGATTCTTGCCAAACATTTGGATGCCACAAGTAGACAGAAGTTTCTGCCCTGAAGCCATTCAGTCTCAAATAAACACACAGAGGCTTATATCAGTTATGAACTGTTTGGCAGATGGCTCCTGCTCCTTATTGGCTATCTCTCTCTTAATTATTAACCCATTTCTATTAATCTGTGTATCTCCATGTGGTCTTGGCTTACCAGTGATGCCCTAGTCTCTTGGCTCCTCAGCAGCTACATGGCATTTCTCTGACTCCACCTACTGCCTTTCTCCATCCCTGTTAGGATTTCCTGCCGGGCTTAACCCTGCCTGTCCATTGACTAAAACAGTTTTATTCATCAACCAGTAAGAGAAATGTTCATAGCATACAGTAAGAGAAGTGTTCATAGCATAGCATCAACCAGTAAGAGAAATGTTCATAGCATACAGAAGGACGTCCCCCATCAATCCTAACCCCCATCTCATCCCTAATGATACCCACATGGGGGATGAATCTGTAATAAGTCCCCAAGTTGTGCTCATTATTGCCTCCACTGCTTGTGTGTCTTTGGACTGGTACAGCAGGACCATCGGCGTCTTTGTTAGAAAGACTGTGCTTCTGGGAGAAGCAATCTGCACGCGTGTCCTGTCTGAGTTCCCCTGTCTTTGTGTGGGTAGAGCTCCGCATTAGAGCTTTGCTGGTGGAAGCCAGGGCATTAACAACTCAGACGCCTCTGCCTCAAGGTCCACAGCAAACGCGCTCAAAGTCACTCACATTTGATTAGAAAGTTCTGCCCCCTCCACTATAGGATGAGATCTCTGGGTTTTAATGGCATCTTTCCTTTTATTTTGGGTGAAAGGAGCTTTATACCCAGATGGGACATCTGGGAAGAACAAGGATGATGATATGGTCCCCCCTGGCCAAAACTACACCTATGTCTGGCCCGTGAGAGAAGAGTATGCACCCGCCCCAGCAGACGCCAACTGCCTGACCTGGGTGTACCACTCACACATTGATGCCCCTAAGGATATCTGCTCTGGGCTAATTGGGCCCCTGCTGGTGTGTAAGCAAGGTAGGCAGCCTCCTCACCTCCAAAAGCTTTTTTCAGGGAATGGGGTTTGGTGTGGAAAATGAGCATAAGGTTCAGCCATTGCTTCTTCACCTTCTTTGCTTGGAGTCTTCCACTAACCTTTCTCTAGGCAACGCAGAAGTTCATGCTGACATAGCAGGGCAAACAGTTCTTTACAAATCATGGCAGAGTTCAGAAACCCATGTTTAGTAAAAACAGAAATCTACAAAACTACGCGTAGGAGAGTGAACAACGTCGTCAGCGGCCAGCGGTGCCTCCCGTTTCCCCTCTTGGTCCCACATGTGCCTCTGCTGAATATGGTTGACTTTTGCCTTGTGACTTTTCTACGGTTCTGTTATTTCCATCAGAACTGGCTTCTGCTGGCGTGTTGTAGGATGTAGGTTATTCTGACTTATCCCTGTCAAATGCACCGAACGCCGCTTGGCGGGAGAGATGCCTCTCCAGGATTTAGTTGACCTTTAACTGCCTTTTCTTCACTCTTGGTGTTCCTGAAAGGTGTATTGAACAGATACTCAGGGATGAGGACCGATGTGGACCGAGAGTTCGTTATCATGTTCACTCTCGTGGATGAGAACCAGAGCTGGTACTTGGATGAAAACATCCGGCATTTCTGCACTGCCCCGAACTCTGTTGACAAGAGTGATGCTGTCTTCCAGAGGAGCAATAAGATGCATGGTGAGTATGTGCCGTGACCTCAGAGGCACACGAGGGTCCTCTGCAGGATGATCGCTCAGGGAAGCAAGGCACGTGGGAACCCAGGACCTGGTTCTGCGAGGTGTGTAGATTCGGAAGGCGGTGATTTGGAAGTGACATAAGACACAGTATGTCTTGAATCCCAACAGTCGGAGACAGGACAGGGCCATGTGCTACACTGACTGGGACAGACAAGACAGCGGTACAGAAAACAGAAGGGAGACATAATGAGGAAGTGTCCCAGCCTGCGGGGTCAGTCGATGGGGACCCGGGGGGAGAGGAGAATGAGGGGACAAGAGACACGAGAGATGGAGACAGACAGAATGCTGATCAAGTCTCGTTTAATGAATGTAACCACGGGGTTTGAGTAGTGGAGGACTGGGCCAGAGGGAGGACGTGAGGGAGGCAGAACGTCCTTCCAAGCAGGATGCAGGGGTCTGCTGTAAGATAAGTGGCTATACGGTAAGACTGCAGCTGGGACTCTTTCAGGATCAGGCTGCATCATGCTTAACAGGAGAACAGTCATAGGGAATGGAAAATTATCAGCATGTTAGTATCTAAGAGAGTAGTAGGAAGGATGCCTGTTAAGATGCTAACTTTGCTCTGGGTTCCCCGCAAGGAAGGAACTGGGCATTGAGGTAAGCCCAGAGAATGTGAGGTAAGCCCTACACTGCCAGAAGGGAGAATAAAATCTCACCACATAACAATTCTGCTTACCCAGCAACCATCTTCCAAGCCTTTGCCAAACTCTCAGAACCAAGCTGTGCGTGGAGTTTAAATGCATACTTGTGAATGTGTTGTTTCCTGGACATTCTTTAAATTATCAAGATTTAGTGAGCACTCGCTATACACAAGAGCTTGTGTTCACTCGCTTATAGAAATCACGAAAGGAAGAGAAGGAGCTGCAGCATGTGATGCGGGCAGAGTCTAAGGTGAGGACCACCAGCAACAGACAGGCCAGGGGCTAATCTGTGCCACAGAACTGCCCGAGAGAGCCTGAGCGAGGTGCCCACAGTCTGTGCATTTCCATCTGGCTGCCTCTGCTGGGATCACTCAGCCAGGCAGGACCACCTGTCAGTACACACATCCTCTTTGTATAACATGCCCTCCATTTCCTCTCCGGTGACATCTCATCAGTCTACTATGTAGCGGTGCTTGGAAAATGTTTTAGGAGGGAAGAAAAGGTCAGGAAGCAAAGAAAATGAGGAAGAGGGATGTGGACAGGACCTGAGTGGAAATCATTGGTTGGAACAGTTTTATCTCTATTCTTCAGAACTTGGAGATGAGACCCCAAACACTGCAGAAAACCAAAAAGTACAAGGCTTAGCCACCCACGCAAAACTCCCCTGCCATCCAGGAGTTATTATTTTGCAGTGAAATGCTCCCCCAAAGATATGAATTGTGTAAACAAAACTTACTTTTGTAATAAAAAGCAGTCTGTGTGTGTGCAGAACTAGGAGTTTGCACGCAGTTAATCCTAGAAAAGGAGATATACCAATTATATATGAAATAACTTGAAAAGAAACTGATCTATAAAAGTTGTTAAATAAATTCAAGGTTTATTAATCAATTAATTTAAATCCACTAGGATAAGTTAGAATAGATGGTGCTGTCTGAACCATTATCATGTTAGGAACAATATCTTTATTTTTTAATGTGTATGTATTTTGCCTGCATGTGTCTGTCTGTGGCTGGTGCTGAGGAAGCCAGAGGAGGTATTGGATTCCCTGGAACTAACGTGAGGCACAGTTGTGTTTATGTGTTGTGAATCACATCAGGTTTTCTGTAAGACCAGCAAGAGCTCCTGAATGCTGAGCCATTTCTCCAGCCCCCAAATAATAACTTTAATTTGTTCTTTGATATTTTCATACATATATACAATGAATCTTGATCATATCTACCCTATTCCCTGCTCCAAGAACCGCCATCATATCTCTGTTCCAACCTCATATCTTCATTTTAAATTTAGTTATTAATTTTAACCTACTGAGTTCAATTAATACTGCCCATATGCTCCTGAGCTTGCCCTGGCCACCCATGGGCCATGGACAGCATGCCAATGACCATACTCTCAAAGAAAAATGACTTTTCCTCCCCCAGCATCCATCACCTGCCAGTCACCCCTTAGACACTCCTGAATCCCTACCCTTACCTGTGCTGGAATTGTTAACTGCCTTGATCTTGTACAGGTAACCACAGATGCTGTGAGTTCATGAGTGTGACAGCCATGCCACATCAAGGAGCCAGCACTTTCCAGCACCTCCATCCATCCTGTCACTCCCCTTTGTCACAGTGTCCTGAGACTTTCCAGGGAGGGTTGGTAAAGGCGTCCCTGGTAGGGCTGAGCACTCAGCACTGTGAGTAGTGGGACTTTTTCCAGACTGGAGACTGCCACAGGGAAACGGGTAGCAACGGCCCGCACTGATGGTCCAGCCTTGCTGCCGAGTGTTCACCCAGGCTCCTGTCCTGCTCGGATCTGCAGAGGAGTGTCTTCCACTGGTGTGTTTGTGTTTGCAGCCCTCAATGGATTCCTTTTCGGAAACTTCCCCGAGCCCGAGATGTGTGTTGGTGAATCTGTGTCCTGGCACCTGTTTGGGATGGGGAATGAGATAGACATCCATTCCATCTATTTTTATGGTAACACCTTCATCACCAGAGGGCACCGGGCGGATGTTGTCAACCTGTTCCCAGCCACCTTCCTCACAATGGAGATGATAGTGGAGAACCCAGGAAAGTGGATGATAACCTGCCAAGTCAGCGACCATCTGCAAGGTAAGACGGACCGAGACTGTGTGGAGAGGAGGAGTGGGTGCTCCTACCGCGTCACTGTGTGGAGAGGATGGTGTGGGTGCTCCTACCCAGAAAAAATAATGTCTGGTGAAATGTGGATGCTACTGCCACGCACAGATGCTCATAGTTAGAGTCGGGACATTCAGGTGGTGTAGATAACACTTTCTTGTCCATTGTCCTTCTGCGGCTGGTGTCAGTCAGCTGGGTTATTCCAGCTAAACTCAGCCCAGGTGACATGTTCTGGACATTAGTATGGAAAGGCCAGATGGGCAATACCGGTTCTATTCTTTTAACAGTTTACTTTAGATTTATTTATTTTATTTTCATGCATATGAGTGTTTGCCTGCGTGCATGTCTATACACCATGTGAGTATCTGGTGCTCATAGATGTCAGAAGGAATGGGAGTTAAGGATGGCTATGAACTACCATGTTGGTGCTGGGAATTGAACCTGGGTCCTCTGCAAGAGCAGTTACTGTGCTCAACTGCTGAGCCATCTCTTCAATCCCCAGGTTCCTATTGCTTATGTTGCCAGCACTCTTAAATTTGGGAAGAAACTTTCTCACGTACGAATTCCAAATTTAGATTTAAACCAAGACAACAACAGCCATTTGAAGCTAATATGGCAGCTCGGTCTAGCTAGTACTTGTAGCCATTAATGGGTATTTATACATTGACCAGCATAAAATATTTCTTGAATTGCCCATACCCTCAGAAAAAATTATCATAAGACTATAAATTTATACAATTATGTTAAAAAGGTTTATTCATATTCATGTGTATGAGCTTTGCATGTATGTATGGGAGCCATGTGCATGCAGTGCTCATGGCGGCCAGAAGAGGGAGCTGGACCCCAGCAACTGGACTCATAGACGGTTGTGAGCCACCAGATGGGTGCTGGGAACAAAATCCGGGTGTGCTGCAAGCGCCCCGCGTGCTTGTAACCGTGAATGTCTCTGTGATTGGATTTTTAAAACAAACGATCCCATCTAGCGCTCTCTCTCTATGAAATAAAGCCGGTATATCTCCACTTCGCTGCTGCTCACTTTCCTACCCATTGGTGTTGTGCAGCCATGTTTCCATAGGAGTGAGCAGACAGTGACTTAATGTTTTAGGCTTCAGACACACACTGCCTAATTCCCTCCCCATCAGACACTGTCACTCTTCACCCACAGCATGTGAGCCTGTGGCAGTCCTGCCAAGGAACTGCGGTGCTGCATAATTACAGTCAAGACAGAGCCTTCCCTGTGTTTGCGGCAGGCGTTATTTCTTTTCTGGACGACCCACTGGCCCCTGCCCATTTTCTATCGGGGATTTACTTGTTTTTCTTCACGTTTAAAATGATGAACTTTTATGTGTTGCATTTAAAATACCCCGCACATCTATCCTTTCTTGTTAGCTCTGTGTGTCGTCCAATTTTCTGAATAAAAATTTAAATACCAATGAAGTCGGGCGTTTGACCCACGCCTCGGCCTGTGTGTTTTCTCCATGCAGCTGGTATGCTGGGGCAGTACAGCGTGGGTAACTGCAGAGGCAGTGCCCCTCACCCGAAGATGCGGGGCCAACAGAGGCACTACTTCATAGCAGCCGAGAAAGTCCTCTGGGACTACGGCCCCCAAGGCTACGACAGGTTCACAGGACTTCCCCTGAATGCATCTGGCAGGTGAGAATTCTGCTGGCGCTGCTAACTCCTCTCCAGAGAGCAGCAGGCTCTTCCCTGGGATCTCACTGAGTGCAATGGCAGACATCATGATGCCACAGCTCGTAGACTCTTTACCTTTTTAACTAACTTACTTTTATTCAATGCTTTCATTTACTTTACTTACCAATCACAGTTTCCCCTCCCCCCAGTCCTCCTGCCCCTCCCCCACCTATCTGCCCCCCCCACTCCTCCTTTGACTCAGTTCATAAAACAGCAGGCTGCTGAGAAATAGGAAAGTGATTATTTGTGATGATTGGTTAGATCAAAACGCTAGAAACATTCATTCATTCACTCATTCAGTTACTCATTTATTCACTTACTGATTCATTTATCCTCTCATAATTCACTCATTCATTTACTCACAGATTTATTCACTTGTCTATTCATCATCCACACATTCACTCCCTCACTCACGCCCTCCCTTCCTCCCCCTTCCCTCCCTCCCCTTCCCTCCCCCTTCCTTCCCTCCCTCCCTCTCCCTCCCTCCCTCTCCCTCCCCCTCTCTCTCTCCTCCCCTCTCCCTCCTTTCTTCCCTCCCTCCCTCTCTCAGGGCCATTTGAAGCACTGCACTACAGAACAGAAGGCCTTTGCCATGCGGAGCAGTTAGGTATCAGAGGGGGCATAAGATGGCGATGGATGGAGATAAGCTGATGAGGTCTAATGAGATTCTTGTGCAAACGACACAGCCTCTCTGCCCTCTCCTCCCTGTCTAGTCAATGCCCCTTTCCTTTGAAACCCAAGACTACTCTGTCTCTTAAGTGAAACCTCCCCTGCCCTCCTCTTTAGTCACTGGGCTTCCAGAGAACATAGTAGTTTTCTTTCTTTCTTTTGATAATTTTTATTTAAATTTGAAACAAGCTTGTTTTACATGTCAATCCCAGTTCCCTCCCCTGTTCCCCCCCCCCACCAATCCCCATCCCATCCCCTTTCTGCTCCCCAGGGAGGGTGAGGCCTTCCATGGGAGTCTTCAAAGTCTGTCATATCATTTGGAGCAGGGCCCAGGCCCTCCCCCATGTGTCTAGGCTGAGAGAGTATCCCTCTGTGTGGAATGGGCTCCCAAAGTCCATTCATACACTAGGGATAAATACTGATCCACTACCAGAGGCCCCATAGACTGCCCAGTCCTCCTAACTAACACCACATTCAGGGAGTCTGGGTCAGTCCTATGCTGGTTTCCCAGCTATCAGACTGGGGTCCATGATCTCCCCCTTGTTAAGGTCAGCTGTCTCTGCGGGTTTCTCCAGCCTGGTCTTGACCCCTTTGCTCATCACTCCTCCCTCTCTGCAACTGGATTCCAGGAGTTCGGCTCAGAGTTTAGCTGTGGGTGTCTGCTTCTGCTTCCATCAGCTACTGGATGAGGGCTCTAGGATGGCATATAAGGTAGTCATCAATCTCATTATTGGGGAAGGGCGTTTAAGGTAGCCTCTCCACTACTGCTTAGATTGTTAGCTGGGATCATCCTTGTAGGTCTCTGGACATTTCCCTAGTGCCAGATTTCTCTTTAAACCTATAATGGCTCCCTCTATTGTGGTGTCTCTTTTCTTGTTTTCTCTGTTCTTTCCCTGACTCGATCTTCCTGCTCCCTCATGCCCTCCTCTCCCCTCCTCTTCCTCCTAACCTACCCCCTCTCCCTTACCCCCTGCTCACAATTTGCTTAGGAGGTCATGTCCCCTTCCCCTTCTCCAAGGGACCATGTATGTCCTAACTTTTCTGGCAGCATGGACTGTAGGCTGGTGATCCTTTGCTCTATGTCTAAAATCCATATATAAGTGAGTACATGCTTATCTGTTCTTGATTTAAGTATGGTAAGTGAAATCTGCCAGAAAATTGTCCATTTCCAGTAAATTTTTGAATTTCGCGGAGTACAGGTTTTCAAAGTGTGGCCTGAAGATTCTCTGGATTTCCTCAGTGTACCTTTTCATTTCTTATTTTTTTAATTTGCAAGGACACAGTATTTTTCAAGTTGATATAAAATACTTTTATGTGTATAGGTATTTTGCCTGTATGCATGTCTGTGTGTCATGTGCAAGCCCGATGCCTGTAGAGGCCAGAAGAGGGTGTCACATCCCCTGGAGCAGGTGCAAAATGCGGTTCCATGATGAACGCATCTGGGAGATGAAGCCGAATGAGCTCTCAGATTCCCACAGATTCCCACATCTCTCCACAGCGACTCTTCAGCGTACTTCACACAAGCGGAAAACAGAATAGGAGGGAGATACTGGAAGGCTCGGTACATGGAATATGTTGACGCCACTTTCAGCAGAAGGAAGGTGCCCTCCGACACTGAAGCCCATCTTGGAATCCTTGGTACGGGCAGGACATGGCCCTGAGGGTTTGGAGGGGGTGTGTCACCGGGGAGCAGACATCCCGCGGAAGCATGACTCTTCCGCTGGGGTTTACTTCTGCCATCGATTTTCATCGTCTTCTCTGGCTCCTCAGGTCCAGTCATCAAGGCAGAGGTGGGTGATACCTTACTTGTGACCTTTGCCAACAAAGCTGACAAGGTCTACAGCATTTTACCTCATGGTGTGTTCTATGACAAGGCATCCGATGCAGCTCCAAATATAGACGGTAAGTCTCAACCCAGCTTATCGAGGAAAGGGTGAGTGAGGAAAGGATTAAGAGCGAGACAGGGTACAGGGATAACGGCTTAGCAGGTGACGTGCTTCCTGTGCAAGCATGAAGGCCTGAGTTTGGATCCTGAGTAGCCATGCAGATGTTGGGAGCAATATGGAGCATATCCATAACTCCAGCTTTGGTGTGTGTGTGTTGTATGTGTGTGTATGTGTGAGTGTGTGTGTGTGTGTGTGTGTGTGTGTGTGTGTGTGTGAGTGTGTGTGTGTGTGTGGTGTATGCAGGTCCCCAATGAGACCAGAAGAGTTGGAGTTGGAGTTACAGGCTGTTGTGGGCCACCTGATATTGGGTTCTGGGAACTGGTCTCAGGCCTGCAAGAACAGTATGTGCTCTTAACTGCTGAGCCTTCACTCCAGGGCCCAAAGATAGGATTCTTGCTTAATTTCTCAGGGTGTCTTCTGTAGGACCGTGTATGATATATTGCATATAGAAGATATTGGTGGTGTCTTACAGACTTGTGTTTAATTGTGTGAATGGAACACTACTATTCATTTAAAACTGGCTGGCTAAGCATAGTATGAGAACAAAGTAGGATACAATCTGCACGGAAAGAAGCACTTCAATTTCAGCTTCTGTCTCATAAAACGGCATCTGAGGTCCAGGGGTCCTCAGTGTAGAGTTTGTAAGAACAAAACCAACGTTTTGTAAAACATCCCATCCGGGAGAGCCATCCAGGACTGGAGACAAAGCCTGGCAAGCTTAATATTCTTGCCTATGTAAAACTGTTTCATTTGCATCCGCAGGATTTCTGAAACCAGGGGCTCACGTCAAGCCAGGCGAAACCTTCACCTACAGGTGGACCGTGCCCGAGAGCGTCAGCCCGACGGACGAAGATCCCCCCTGCCTGACCTATCTTTACTTCTCAGCAGTGCAGCCAATTAAGGACACTAGTGCTGGGCTCGTAGGGCCTTTGTTGGTCTGTAAAAAGGGCTCCCTCAATCCTGATGGGACACAGGTAGGCTCAGTGTCACTACACTCTTCCTAGGGCTGTTGGTGCAAAGGGCTGGCAGTGTGACTGGGATTAAGCAGCAATGGCCATTAGCAAAGCAGGGTCTCTTCTGAAACTGACCTATAAGAGTGTGTGATCGGGGTCCTTCTTGCTGAGTGAGGTCTCTCAGACTTGGGTACACCCATGAGCACTGTTGGTATTTTTTTTTATCCAAACAGTCCAATCAGAATCCCCAGGCGATTCTATCTGTGTCAAAGCTAAGGGTTGCCATAGTTACTGGAGATTATGGTGGCTGAAAGGAAGAGAAGGCACATAGACAGCTGCTTGTGTGTCCCAACTCTGAGGGTTGGGTGGTGGCATGGATGGACAAGGCAAAGCCTAGGATTTCCAGCTGCATGTATACAAATTAAACTCATTCATGGAAAGTGGAAGATCTGCTCACCCAATCACGTGTTTCACTAATTACCTCCCAACCAGAAACACAGGGCAATCCATCTAAATGCTGACTCTTAATAGCATCTGGCATTGTATAGACCTCTTGCACGGGCACAAGGATTGTCTGTCTAGACTTCAAGGACAGAAAACATCTTGATCTATCTTGGATTGTCAATTATCTCTGTGAGGAAGCAGCTTTAGAAAACTCTGTGATACAGCAAGCATGTGCCCTGTGTCTCAACAGCAACAGAAGGCGGTGGTGTTTGGTGGTTTGCATTTCAAAGGTGAAGAAACTGAGGTTCAGGGAGACCGTGTGACACTCAAGTCTGGTAGATCTGAAGTCATAGCAGTGCAGGACGGGACTGGGGGTCATCTAATCCTTCCTCTCCCAGGACACTAACCTGCTTTTTGCTGTGAATAAGTCCTGAGCCAAAGAGATTAAGGGCCAAGAACTACTACAAAGGAGTTCTGATTTGCTTTTCTGTTGCATCTGCTCAATGAAAACTTGGAGAATTTCTTAGAGTTTGCAGAAAATGCTGCTAGGCCAAATAGTATTCATAGTAAGACTACTAACTCAGGATCGATGAAAACAGAGAACAAGAAAAACAACAACAGTAAAATACCTGATATTTGGTTGATAAACAAAACAATTTGACCAAAGATAAAGTCATTTGTAGTGTAAATAGGCCTTAGAAAATATGTCAGTTTCTCTGTAGACTAAAACCTGGTCAGATTCTTCTAGACAGGTAGAGAGGGGGAGGGGCTTAGAGAGGACTGTTTTCTTTCCAGTCAGTTTCCAGTCACTGTCTCTCCCGGGTGGGGTGAAGGGGTGTCATCGAGCATGGTCGGATGACGTAAGGCTGATTTCTGACCATTATTGCCCCCGACATAACCATTCAATGAAATTCCCAGATTCAGCATTCTGTCCCATCCCGTCCGTCTTCCCGGTCTCCTTCCCTTCCCCCTCCCCTCTCCTCCCTTCTCCCTACTCCTCTTCAATTTCCCTCTTTTCTCAACACATACAGTGATAGAAATATGTAGAGTACAGGAAGGGCAGGTGGGTAGGCAGGGGCCTGAGCTTACATACTGTCATCGAGAGAGAGGCGGTTGGACAGCATAGCTGACGGTCCCTGCGAGGGTGGCTTGGATAGCACACATGTTAGGCGTGAGGACAACAAGTGACCGATCCCACTCAGCGTCCTCACTTAGGTTGATGACCCACTTTGTGCGACTTTTAGGACTACTTCAAGCTCTACGTTTATGTCTTTGTTTCTCCATTCCTTCTAGAAAGGAATAGACAAGGAATTTTACCTACTGTTCACGGTCTTTGATGAGAACCTCAGCCGGTATCTTGATGAAAACATCCAGAAGTTTGCTTTGTACCCCTTCAGTGTTGACAAAGAAGACAAGGAGTTCATTAAGTCCAACCAGATGCACGGTATGAAAGGCTGAGCACCCTGGGAGACGTGCTGGAGCCTGCCTGACCGCCTAACTTTGGTGCCTTTGGTATTGCTTGTGGTCAGGACATAACTCATTTCATGCCTTCACGTTCATGAGCTCCCAGAGATTCTGTGAGTCTGACACTGGCAAGACCTTGTGTCATCCTTAGACAAAGCAATGCAGAGTTTGAAGTAGGGAAGGACACAGGAGATCCGAAGTGTAGAGAATGACCGACGATACTCACTCTCCCACATCTTGACTGATAGAAGGAGATAACGGAGAATTATCATAGTGAATACATCTAATCAATTAGAATGAGTGACCACTGCAAGGATTAATTCCGCAAACACTAGGGGTTTCCACCTCATCTTAATTTGGGATAATGACTTAATTCTTTCTCAGTTTCTCCTTATATCATAATGGCAAGCCACCCAGTGATTGTCTGTGGCCAACCAAGGATTCTATTGGTCTCAGCCATGTTGCCTAATGCAGCCAAGCAGAGCCAGATACCGCAACCACAAGCTCCGGACTCGCTAGCATACTGTATTGTTTCAGTGTGTGGGAGGCTGTGAGGCTCCAAGCATAACACTTTTTACTACCGTTTAAAGCAATATAGATGAATACATAGGTCAGCTCTTAAATCCCTCCCTACCTCAGGAAGTTCCCAAAGCCCAAGGTTAACAATAACCACGGCGATCAAGCCACAAACTCCCATGCCCCTCAATGCTAAGGTCCCACAGAAGCCCCTCTTGGACCTGTGGAATTCAGGGAGCAATGACCTTCAGTGTCAGCCTCCAGGAGAGTTTTGCTGTAACTGAGCATGGATTTGTTTCTGATGTTTGTTTGTTTGTGAGACAGGGGCTCTTGTCTCCCAGACCAATCTCGAACTTTGCCTCCACACCCAGGTGCTGGGATTGCAGGCATGCATCGTTATATTTTTCAGTTGACAATAAAAGAGAGAAACTAAGCTGTGAGTGAGGACATGGTCATGCTGTAGAGGGAAAGCCAGACTTCAAAGGACGTCCTTGGAGATGCTCTGGATAGAAAATATAATACCACTGCTGGGCCACATCAAATTCAGCCCCAGCTTATTTTGACCATGTGACACTCCTGTTCACACATCATCCAAGAGCACATTTCAGGGAGGGCAATGTTTCTAGGTTCAGACTTCATATTAATTATAACCTGGGTTCTAGTTCCAAGCTTGTTTGCATGGCAAGGAAAGGAGCAATCCAGAAAACCAAGGATAAGGGGCTTCATATGGTACCCTGCCATGAGCTGTGTTTATCTTATAAGCTGTATTTAAATGGTATTTGCTGGATGAATGAATGAGTGAATGAGTGAACAAACGAATGAATGAAAGGTCTAGAAATAGAAGTATTAAATACATGTTTAGAGTCAGAAAAGATTCTCTTCCAACTCAGCCAAACGCTAAATTACTTAACACCCCCACACGATGGTAATACTCTTTCAAATTCTGTAGACAAGAGATTTATATGGTTTACTAATAAAAATATTATCAAAGTTTCTTTTAAAATATGTTCTTTTTAGAAGACCCAGGGCTTTTTACTAGCAATTGTAAATTTAAGTGCACTCGGTAAGCTCCATGGGTTTGACCAACAGACACAGAAATAAGAAGAAATTTTATTCACAAGGAAATTTTTATGAGAAGACCATCCCTGTTAGGCCTCTCGGCTATCAGGGTGGGAGAGTAATGTTCTACATGGGCTTACCTAGCTTACTTACTCAAGTTCTACCCTGTCATAAATATAGTGCTTCCTGATAGCCCCAATCTGCCTCCACTGATCAGATCTGCAACTACAATGCCAGTTTACTGAAGTATTTCTGGATTACTCATAATCTACGAGCTCTGTAAATGAACATCTGATAACCTCTTCTGGAAGCACATGCAAAGCCATTGGCAAATGAGTCTGTCTGAATTAAATTAACTGGATCCAATAAGTTCATAATGGAGAAAGTCACTTGACAAACGATAACAGGATTAAAAACCTCAAAGAAAATCAAGAATTTTCTAGAGGAATATGGGAACGTGGGGAAGCCAATTGATATTTCTTGAAAATTATTTTTATTATTTTATTATGTGAATGGGTGTTTAGCCTTCATGTTTGCCTCTGCACCGTGTGGCCTATGGAAGGCAGTAGAGGAACTCGGATTCTCTGGGACTAGAATTATAGATGTTTGTATCACCACATGGGTGCTGGGAATTGAACCTGGGGCTTCTGGAAGAGCAGCCAGTGCTCTTAGCCACTAAGCCATCTCTCCAGTCCCTTCAAATGACACTCTTATAAGGATGATGCTCTTCTGACATGCAGAAGTAAGATGTTAACTGGCAGGTGTTTTGATGTGCTATCAGACAAGTTTTGTCATTTGAAAAACTGCAAAAACAACCTGGTTTATTCCTCAGCGAGTCTTGGCATTACTGTCTTAGAATATGCTCTGCTAAATTGTATAATTTTAGCGCATTTTTAGATTTATTGTTAATTCTAGACACCATGTGTCTTGTCCTCTAGTAGTGCTCATTCTGTAGTAATAAGTTCCTTACGTATGGTGCACTGGCTTGAGGGCCTTCCACACCACACTGATAAGCACTCCCTGAGATGGTGTTGTCATGACGACCATGGAGTTACAACAGCACCTCACTCACTGTCTTCTTCCTCCCACTTAGCTGTCAATGGCTACATGTATGGCAGCCAGCCAGGCCTAAGCATGTGCAAGAAGGACAGGGTTTCCTGGCACTTGATTGGAATGGGCACGGACACAGACATGCATGGAGTTTATTTTCAAGGCAACACCATCCACCTACGAGGGACTCACCGTGACTCCCTGGCTCTGTTCCCCCACATGGCCACAACGGCGTTCATGCAGCCAGACCATGCAGGTAACCCTGGCCAGGGCCATCTCAGGTGATCAAGTCCAACCTGCCCTCCTCATACAGTTCTCCTCCAGGAAAAGCTGGTAGACCTTGGCGCTTGAAAGACTCCAGAAGCAGGTACAGTTTTGCAAACATCCCAGGTGAACCACAGTCACGTGAACCTAGGGCCATCCACATAAGCCCAGGTGAATTCATGTGACCCTCAAGTTAACACAGATGAACCCTGCATGAATACATGCAACCCTCAGATTAACCCACATGAACCCTAGGGGAATTCATGTGAACTCTATTTGAATTCTAGGTTGACCCACACAGACCTTAGGGGAATTCAGGTGAACCAAGATGAACCCTAGTTAATCCGAGGTGAATCCTATGTGAATAAATAGGCGTGAAGAAAAGCCTATAGAAAACAGACACTTCTTGCGATCATTGAGCACAAATGTAACTGAAGGTATTTTTGAAGCATCCATCTGGCATAGGAAGCCTACCGGGTGCTTCAGGCTATGGAGCTGTGATGTGGTTTTTACTGTAGCCTGCTCTCCTTCTGCTGGGGATGGACAATGGTTCGGGATGAGTTATTTGATATCTCCTTTATTTCCATTCTCTTGAGCGCCCTTGCTTTACCCAGAAGGCAAGTTGTGCTGGGTTTAGAGTCTTGGAACCTCTTCCCTCAGAGATTCCATCTAAAGAGACCTTTTATACATTTATACAAAAGACACAGAGAAACACATAGAGCATGTGCTGCTCACCGGAGAGATTCACCCCTATGGTGGGCATTCGACATGCTTTCCTCTCAACTTCACCGGGCTAAGCAAGAGTCCGTAGCAATGCACCCGTGATGGACACCCGTGATGGACACCTCATGTCATCCTGAACTTTCTACTTCCTGGCTTCACTCTGGAATCACAGCAGAGATGGCTGTGTGATCACTAACTAGCTTGGCCCAAGAGCTTCCTGCAAATAGAAGCTCTGTGTTCTTCGTCTTGGAATGCTCCTACAGAATTCCACCTGTCTGCACTAATATACTCGATTGATTATGAATAACCCGAACCAAGGGCTGCCTTGAGTGGGTTTTCAAACATACTCCAAAAAGGAGCAGGGCCTGAGAATAACCAAACGGTTCTAATCCATAGAAACAGGTACTCAGAGACAGAGCTGATTGGCACACATAGCAATGTTTCGTATGCCGGTGCTTTGATCATTATTCATATGTCCCATGGGCTTGTAAGGATCTTCAACCTAGTGATCTTTTTTTTCTGGCTTGGTTGGTGGTGAGCACATCTCTGTGCCTGGAAATAGTCTGGTTTCTTTAGTAATGGCTGTGGCTTAGCTGTGAGTTGCAGAGAGTATTGAAAAAGAAGGTAGAGTGTGTGTGTGTGGGGGGTGGGGCTCGGTCACTAAAGTACTTGATGCTCAAGCATTCACACCTGAGTTCAGTCCTCAAAATCCGTAGAAAAATATTTGTATGCACAATGTGTACCTTGTTTCATAATGCTTTATCCAAGCATTATTTTTATTTTTTATTTATTTCCTTCTTTCTCAGTTTTAATTTTTCCTAAAGACTTTTTTTGCATATATATAATATGGTTTCCAGTTCTGTGTTTTTGTGGATTTCTATGTCTATGAATATGTGAGTCTCTGCATCTATTCATATTTCTTATGCTTTTTTGGCTCTTTTTCTTCTGTTAGTTTGTTTCTTTCATTCTATTCTGGTTGCTTTGATATTATTTTATCTTATTTTTTAGATGCCTGCTTGTATTCTATTGATGGAAAGAAAGGGTATGGGTGTGGGTGTGTAGGGAATTGGAGGAGAGTAAATCATCATCAGAATTTATTATATGAAAAAAATCCATTTTCAATTGGAAAATAAAATATTACATTGCTGCTTTAATAGGGAATAATCTGTAGATACAGACGCATGCTTGTAATCCTAGTGCTGAAGCTGTATAACAGGGACATTTCTGAGACCCATTGGCCAGCCAGACTAGCCTAGCTGTTGGGTCTCAGGACGATGAAATGCTGTTTCAAAAAATGAGGTAGATGGCTCCTGAGGAAAGACAGTCCAGGTTATCCTTTGGCCTCTGTCTTAGGGTTTCTATTGTTGTGAAGAGACACCACGACCATGGCCATTCTTATGAAGGAAAACATTTCCCTGTGGCCGGATTCCAGTTCCAGAGGTTTAGTCCATTATTGTCTTGGCGGGAAACATGGGAGTGGGAAGGCAGGCAGGCACTGGAGAAGGCCATGAGCAGTCTACATCATGATCCACAGGCAGCAGAACAGGCTGTGCCTCACTGGGTGTGGCTTGAGCATAGGAGACCTCAAAGCCCCACAGCAACACACTTCCTCCAGGGAGGCCACACACACACACACACACACACACACACACACACACACACACACACACACGTGCGCGCGCGGGTAGAGAAAATGGTAGACAGCAACTCACACTGTTTCCCTTCGCTCCTGGAGAAGATAATGACTGTATTGCTGAGAAGCCACGATGACCTCGTGACTGTGTTCTGTCAGGATAAAAGTCCATGTAGAGAGATCTCTTCCCAGGTCTCTCCTCTATGGTGTAGAGAGAGATCTTCCCAGGTGTCTCCTCTGTGGTGTAGAGAGATCTCTTCCCAGGTGTCTCCTCTGTGGTGTAGAGAGATCTCTTCCCATGTGTCTCCTCTGTGGTGTAGAGAGATCTTTTCCCAGGTCTCTCCTCTGTGGCTTAGAGAGATCTCTTCCCAGGTCTCTCCTCTATGGTGTAGAGTGATCTCTTCCCAGGTGTCTCTTCTGTGGTGTAGAGAGATCTCTTCCCAGGTGTCTCCTCTGTGGTGTAGAGAGATCTCACAAAGACCTTCCTAGTGCCTATAACACTGGGCATTTACTATTTCATGCTGACTATGTTTCTTTGGGATTCTGTTCAAAGTGGGTGCAACTGACCCACTGACCTAACCAACTCTGCTCCTCCAGAAATGGCAGCCACCATTTAGATGACAGCCATGTGTGGAGAAGGAGCAGAGCTCTCGCTGTACGTGGTAGGTGGTTATGAACAACCAACCAGGTGCCTCTAAGAGCAGCCTGTTAGAGAATGGGGAGATTGATCCAACAAGTTCATTGATGGTTGATATCTTCCATGATTTAATTTCACCTAATTTTATGGTGAATTTAATTCAAATATGAGCATATACATCATATATATGTATATATGTATGTACACTCATATATATGTATATATATATATAAAACACGCACACACACACACATATATGTAAAACACACACATCTCAGATGCCAACATGTCTAGCATGAATTCAGGTTTTAAATTGCATCAGTCTCTGCCAGACATCATTGATACTCTATAGAGAACCAAGGTTGCTCTCTTTCCTTCTGTGAATCTCACGAGCCCTCCCTGGCTCAAGGCTGTAATGAAGTAATCCATTTGACTCTCGTGCTTACTTGCTTGATAATTTACGAAATCCTCAGGGCAGAATCCCCAACCGTGGCCTAATGTGAATGTTGTCTAGGTCTTTCATCTCATAGGTAATGAGTTCTCTATAAACTGGGCTGGGCTGGGAGAGTCACAGGACCAGTAGTTTTCCAGGAGTGACCGTAGGCAGGTGTGTACAGGGACCGCCCAGAGCAGTCCTTTCTTGGCCACAGTATCTGAATTTTCCCCACCTCAAATGAATTTTATGTAGCGTTTTTCCCTTCAAAAAATATAGTAATTTATTCCTCACGAACTCTATGCTTCAAAACTACCCCGAGGTCCTAAATGTCTATATTGCTGGTCACTGATGTCGGGATAAGATGTCTAAGTCTGATAAGATCACCGCCACCAGAAATACCAAGCCATGGGCACCATGCCAAGCCTTTTCCCTTCCAGGTATTTTCAAGGTGTTCTGTTCCACCTTGCACCACTTCGTCAGAGGCATGGGTCAGATCTATGAGGTCAGCAGCTGTGGCAACAGGGACCCTTCTGAGCCGCCCTACGGGATGCTAAGAACCTTTTTCATCGCCGCTGAAGAGGTAGAATGGGATTATGCCCCTAACAAAAACTGGGAGTTCGAAAAGCAGCACTTGGACGCAGGAGGGGAAAGGTACCATGGGCGAAGTCACGCTGTTCGGTGGGAATGCGCATGCTCTGTGGTTAGCACCCGTGGAAACCGAGTGGCCGGCTCTCTCTGTGCAGACACTTTTCCTTATGAGTACAGAAAGTTAGCGACACTTCTGTCTACTCTCCTGGAAGTAGGTCAGAGATCACCCTGAGGGTTCGTAGTGGCTTCCCATGCCTGTCCTAGTTCCCTAGCTGTGATTGGCCGACTTCATAGCTGAGAAGGATGGACGGATGGACGGATGGATGGATGGGTGGATGGATGGATGGATGGATGGGTGGATGGACGGATGTGTGGATGGGCGGGTGGATGGATGGATGGATGGGCGGATGAATGGATGGATGGATGGACGGATGTGTGGGTGGATGGATGGACGGATGGATGGATGGGTGGGTGGATGGATGGATGGATGGGTGGGTGGATGGATGGATGGATGGATGGGCGGGTGAATGGGTGGATGGACGGACAGACAGGTGGGTGGATGGATGGATGGATGGACGGATGGAAGTGTTTAGAGGAAAAGTGGGACCCACAGCAATGGTGGGACTGGGAAGGGAAGTGGACCAGATGAGGCAGAGAAGGCGTGTGGGTCCAGGGGAGGAGATGGGCTGCTATAGAGCCAGTAGCGCAGGGGAGGGGAGCTGCGAAAATGCTTCTGGCAAACATGAATCCAGGTGGGGACATCCAAGAATGACCTGAGGCTATTGCCTTGAGAGAGATTCCCGAGTTAGGGCAGCAAAGGCAGATCTCCAAGGTACCCAGAAAATGTGTTGGAGTGATAGCAGCCAGAACCACGTGTTAAAGCATCAGCTATGCTTAAGCCACGCAAAGGTCTATGAGTCTTGGTCGTCTGCTATCCTAATTCTGGAGTTGGGGACCAAGCTCCTCGGGGCACACTGGTAGAGTCTGGGCTCCCAGAAGGATCCGGTACAGACTGCAGACTTCCCCAACATTAAGCCTGTCTTCTGCTTGGATACAGCTGCCCTAGCATGCAGAAGGGAGGGAGCCTTGGTGGGAAGAATGAGGACACTCAGCTAGTCTTTAGCAGAGCGGGAGCTCAACACAGGTCATCCCAGGGAAATCCACGTCTCCAACACACCACGGTGTCTTTGTACTCCGTCCCTGGCCTGCTCTTAGTACGTGTCCCAGGCTCTGGTTATCAGTGCTCTCCTCAAACCCATCATGTCTGCGGTACACAGACTCTTCTACCATTGCTCAACACATCAGTTTCTTTTCTTACTTGCCAGCCATTGTTTTGGGGAAGAGCTACTGTAACACTGCCATCTTAGACATAAATAGAAAAATAAAAAAAAAAAAAAAATCAAAGTGCCTATGGAGAAGGTGTGCCCTGAGGGCAAGAGCCTTTAAAATCTACTCAGTTATTCACAAACAATTTGCAGATCTAGACATGCTCCTTTGGGACAGCTTGTGTTGCCAGTGTAAGTTAAATACTGATGCTCTTTCTGTGGAAAATGAAAACTAATTTGGCATCTCTAAAACAATTATTTCACTAAGTGGCTGCTGTCACCGCAGCCTTCACTTTAACTTGAGTTTGAAGCCTCAATCGATCTGAATGAGCAGGGAATTCAAGCTCCAGGCTCTGGGACTCTGGGCTAAATGGCATAGAAGAACATACGAGTGCTCTCTGCTCACTAACCATAAGTCAACCAAAACGAGGAGGAATATGGACACTGCCACACATTCAAAGTCTACTAAGTTCTGTAGTTTTATCAGTTTATATGAAGGAAAGGGACAGGAAAATGTCTCAGTGGGTAAGAGGCTTCCTGCCCAAGCCAGTGTTCAGTCTCCACATCCCACAGGAGAGGGAGAGAACCAAGTCCTCTGATACCACCCTAGTCCCACACATGATGGCATGGACACGCCCTTGTGGTACACACGCAGTGTCTCCGCTGATAGGAGCTGAGAGACCAATGCTCTCTACACCCTAGATTTTGTGCCTACAATTCTTTTCAGTCTTGGGTATCACACTGAGGCCTTCTACAAGCTACATAAGCACTCTCCCACCAGGACCAGCAGCTGCTTGTTTGAGGCAGGAGCCCACTGAGTTACCCAGGTTGAAATTCAATTTCTGACCCCCTGATTCAGCCCCTGGAGAAGCTGGAAGGTTCTCCTGTTTATACACCCAATTTTACCCCAAGGCTATTATTTTTGAGCCACTTCCTGGCACAAGTCACCTCTGAGACATTTATTCCTCTGATCAGCACAGACCCTCTCCGTACATGAATTTCTTCATGGCGGGGGGATCTCCAGAGTGTTCTGGGAAAGCATGAGGATTCCAGAAAGGCAACGTGTGGACCTGTCAGCACAATTTCACATCAGATGTGTGCAGCAGGAGGAAATCTGAAAAAGTAGATGAGATTGGTAAAGAAAGACCAGTGTGTGTATAATTCAGCAGTCCCCGGAGTCACCACAATGGACATCTTCTGAGCAGTCATCATACGCCAGGCACATGCTAAGGCTTTTATAAACAGCTCATCATAAAAGCCTCACAGCACACTTGACTCACCCAGGCAGCACCTTCCCAGCATCAGCTCTGACAAAGTTTTCATATTGCAGTTTGTGTGTTCCTTTCGTAGCAGAGGAGAGCCAGGAAACGGCAAGCAGAGCTTGTAGCCTGGCTCACAAGCACAGTTAAGACCCACCGACTGTAAAAGCAGACTCTGTCCCTTTGCAGTGAATGCTGGCAGAGCAGAGGCACTATCTATTGAGTAACCTCAGTGCAAAATGCTGGTGAAACTGTGGCGCAGACAGCAGCTCCCACTCTGAGTGCGTGGTCACCGAGGAAAAGGCTTGAACAAGCGGGGGGGGGGGGGTGCAGTCTTTCACAGAGGGGAGGTTCAGTGAGGGCTCACAGTAGGATACACAGCCCCTTTGAAATGAGATGCGGAGAGGGAGGCAGTGCGCGAAGACGGTGATAGTTCTTGGTAGAGCAACCAACACGCCCAAGCACAGGATGGGTGGAGGGCTCGCCATGCTCAAGAGAGCAAACGTTTAGGATGACACAGTGTCTCTGGGGTGGCACGAGCCAGCCAGGCATGTTCTGAACTTAGGGGAAATGGATAGCGCAGGCTCTGAACCAAACGGAGGTTTGCAGACAGGGTCACTGAAAGGTTACGAAAGAGGAAGAGAGGGTCAGCCATAGAGCCGGGGACTACTCCGTCTGCAGAGAAAAGAGCAGGACGGAGGTTGTATGGGTGGCAGGGAGAGCCATGCGCATGGCTCTTTTCTTGGGTTAGGACATGGAAGGACATTAGCCTCACCCTGCTTTGGAAGTGAAAGTGACTTTTGTTTCCTTGGGGACAATATCTCACTGTGTAGCCCAGCCTGCCCTTGAACTAGTTCTCCTTCTGCCTCAGCCCCTGGGCAGCTGGGATTATGGTGGTACCACTACACCCAGCTCTTTCTGCGTCTTCTCCTTCACCTCTTGTCATGGTGACAGACACCCAGAGCCAGTCCTTAAACTGTCACTTAACATTTACAACTGTGCCTACTTGTCAAAATACGTTTGTCACACCCCCCTCCCAGAGAGTGGTGTAAAAGGCCAGTCTCCAGGAAGGCCCAGGCAACACACAGGAAGGGAAAGTCACATCACCCAGAATCCCCTGAGGTTCCTGTGGTGATGCGAAGCTATCTGGAGAGCTCTGGAAACATCAGAGACCCAGTGCACACATCCACAGCCGATGTCAACCAAAGCAGCTCCTCTCTGAGTCTTACTCCAGTCCTGACTTTGTGGACAACTGCTCTTGGCCTGTTTCACGCTGCAGTGTATGCATTAGTGTGCTGTGGGGTCCACTGTTAGGATGAGCAGGGGTGTGGAGTCCCTGTCCCAGTACAACAGGGAGGAGATATATTTATGGAGAAGCTTCCTTCAGCCTGAGTCCAGTGCAGTGAGCTGAGGTCAGTGTTAGCACACACTGACATGTGTTAAAGCGTTTCCCAGAAGGTACACATAAAACCCACCGTTTGGGTGGGCTAATAAAAACAAGAAGCTCACATTTGTACCTTCACAGTACACACCCTGCAGGCTTGGGGGCTTCAAAGTGGAAGGGTGACAGTCACGAAAGCTGGAGGATATCAGAGCTGAGGAGGGTGTGTGCGTGCGTGCGTGCGTGCGTGCGTGCGTGCGTGTGTGTGTGTGTGTGTGTGTGTGTGTGTGTGTGTGTGTGTTCTCTAGTACCAGCCAGAGAAGCACAGCCTCTATTGCCCATTAGGATTCTCTACGGTTAGCCCAGATAAGAGCTCAGGAGCGGGTGACAATGATGATTTCCCAGGGTGGCCCTGGGTCCTTGCTGGGTTGCTCTCATGAGGACATGAGGAGCTCTGAGGTGCTGGCTGCTATCCCTGCTCTCAGAGGTGTTGCAAAGGCCAACTCCGGGGCAGACTCTGGTCCCAGCTGGGGTTGGGTGGGGATCATCTCCACAGAGCACCCCAGGTAACAGAGGCTCTTGGTCTTGCTGCCTTCTGACAGCCTTGATCTCTGATGCCCCTTCTTTGCAGGCACGGGGACATATTTATGAACCACACTGAAAACTGGATTGGCTCTCAGTACAAGAAGGTTGTTTATAGGGAATACACAAATGGAGAGTTTGTGGAGATCAAAGCCAGGCCGCCAAGAGAGGAGCACCTGCAACTCTTGGGTAAGGCAGACTTCAGCCTAGCTCTGTCAGCCCCAAGTGAGGGCATGTCTGTGCATGACCCCAGCCCCAACCCTCACACATGCCTGGGATCCCTATCACCAGGGCAACCCACCAGGTGTCATGTCCTGCCTCTCTGCCGAGCTGAGCGATTTTAAACAGTTTGATGACTCAGCAATCAGGTGGCGTGTTTACGGGGCCTCCTCCAAGTCCTGGCTCCTGTGTACTTAGTGACAGAACACACTATAAAACTGTGCATGAGCCAAAAGGAGCCTCCTTGTGTGAGGTGGGTCTAAGAGTGACAGGTCCCAACCTGACCTATGGACCCTGATCTGGCCATGCGTACGAGTGGACTCGGGGCTGGCCGGTGCCCCAGATGTGTGGCCGGCCCTCAACGCTGCCCTTCCGGTTTCCCTCCACTCCCCCGGGAGGCATTAGACCCACCCCACTTGAAAATGAACGTTTTTAAGGCTGAAGAGGACCTTGGAGGATTTCGGAAATACTTTCCTGGTCTTTATACCACAGGTAGCTCTGTGAGTGTGCTTTACACGTTATTTTCAACATGACAACGAATGGCGTGACAATGCCCCCCCCGCGCCCTCCCCCTCCCTCCCCTCATGCCCACGTGGCTCACCAGCTTGATTGTCACTGCCACATGAGTAATTCATGAGTCACTCATTGGAGCTGTAAGTGTGCCCAGAGCTCCAGAGAAAAGGGCTGGGCTAGCGAAGGGGCTGCTGTGCTCCCTAAGGGCCTGACTTGATTGGTAGCAGAGGGAAATGAGCCACTTACATCAGGGACAAGTCCACGGCCACCAAACAGTGGAAGGAAGGCCCTTCGCTGTCTGCAGCTTAGAGTGACCTAGACGCCCAGTAACTCGGCAGGGCCACCCCCGTCCACCTCGGCTCTGTGTCCCACCGTGTGGCACGGCCAGTCAGCTGGAATGCATCTTTTTCTAACTAGTGTAGCTTGTGCACGGGGTAGTAAATAGTAATGAATTAATGACTTTAGTGCGCATGCTTCCTGCTTCCTTCTTCCTTCTGGAGAAAAAGCACAGTTCAACAGACTTTGGATGTATTAATGACTTCAGCCACGTTTCTCAGAATCAACGCCGGAGCTTGCTTCGGTGATGAATGAACGGGTGTCGCCCACCATTAGGGCTCAGGTGGGGGATGCTTCTGCAAAGGAAAATGATTGTGAGCCCCACACTCTATCTTGTTGGGGGTGTTTCCCTAGCCCTGCAAAACAAGAGGCGCTTGGCATGAGGCAGCAGTCGGTACAACCTCCTTCCCTCCCTCCAGCAGACATGCCTCACACGCGAGGCTGGAGAGCGTGTGTGTGCTCGAGGCATCTGGCCGAGTTTCATTTCTGTTTCTGTGATAAAACAAACAAGCAAACAAACCCGACAACAAGCAACCTTGATAAGAACAGGTTTATTTTAGCCCACAACTCCAGGCTACAGTGTATTCGATGGAGAAGTCAGAGCAGTGGGAGCTAGAGAGAGTCCACGTTCAAGAGCAGAGAGGAATGAATGCGTGCCTCGTGCCCAGGTAGCTCTCTCATACATAGTCCAGGGCCCCAAACCAAGGATCGGAGCTGTCCACTTTCAGGCCGTACCCTCTTATATCAGTGCGGGCGGTCAAGGCCATCTCCACAGGCAAGGGCACCGGTCAGCCTGATCTAGACAACCTCCACTAAGACTCTTCTCAGGCGATTCTAACTAACCATCCCAAGGCCCGCATGTCGGGGGTCTATACCAGACGTGCTTTAGTGACACCGTACCTGTGTATACGGAGTCAGCGCCACACATGCAACGGTGGCATGGCTTGCATCCCTTTGCTACCCATCATGCCACGGGAGCCTCGTTATTAGTATCACCCCCATTTACCACATCACACAGGTATTAGCATTAGTTACTTCTCTGCTGCTGTGAAAGACGCCATGACCAAGGCAACTTATAGAAGCAAGGGGTTCTCTGGGCTTATGGTTCCAGAGGGGTAGAGGTCTGGCATGGCGGGCAGCAGCAGGAAAGACAACATGAACAGGAAGCTGAGAGCTCACATCTTTTAGACCAGGCACAAAGCAGAGAGAGCAAACTGGAAATGTGTCCATTTGAATCTCAAAGCCCATCCCTGTTGGCATACCCCAACAAGGCTACACCACCCAAACCTCCCAAACAGTGGCACCAACTGGAAACCAAATATTCAAATGCCCAAGACTAGGGGGGATACTTCTCATCCAGGGTCACAGATGACAACTGAAATGCCGTCACTCCAGGGCAGAAATACTTGGCCTTGTTGGACAGAAACAAACTCTACAATACATACACAATGCTATGTAATGGTCCCATGGGAACAGTCTTATTAACCCATTCTGCAGATGAGGAGACTGAGATTACAATGACAGATTCACCCAAGTCTTCTGTTAAAGGGAGGAGGAGGGATTTGAATTCAGCTTGGCTCCGCTGCTAAGCATGTCGTAATATGTGTGATGCGTTTTGCCTTTAGGTCCAATGATCCATGCTGAGGTGGGGGACTCCATCCTCATCATCTTTAAGAACAAAGCCAGCCGGCCCTATTCCATCACAGCCCAGGGTGTGGAGGACTCGGACAGTGGGAAGCGTTTGGAAGTGCCTGTCACAAAGCCAGGTAAGCCCCATGCAAGGTCTTCTGCGTCCTGATGAGGTCACCAGGGTCTCCCCTTCCGGTCACCAAGGGTCTTGAAGGGCTTCCCGAGATGTGCCTCAGCCACTGCCTAGTCCCTAGAGGTATGAGCTCATCATGTATGCAATTACTCAGGACTGAAATTCTTAGGTCCCTGTCACAGACCTCACAGAATAATTGGGAACATCAGTGGCAAACACACTGAGTGGTACTTTGGATCAGAGACCATGTTCTACGTTTGAAACAGAAAATAAACAACAAGAAAACTAAAACCCACCCTATCGGCTATCCCACAATGCAGCTGTTATTTCATCAGTTCACAAGCCGTCAATTATAGTGTGCACTGTCGTCTGATCCGACAGTAAAACAAGAAAAGGCTCTAGGACCCAACCTCTTCACACATTTCTTGGATGTGACCAAGGAGAGCTGAGGGGAGAGGATGGACACACAATGGGCAGTTTCAGTAGGAACATAGACTATGCATACGTTCTAATTGGTGGAGAACTTTTAAAAACATCCGTAGGAAGGTTTTTGTTTGGTCATGAATATTCAACTCCCTTGAGTACATCCTAAGGGACACGGGTGCTGGGTTGTGAGAGAATGCGGTGGTTTTAAAGAAACCGTCAAACTGCACAATTTTGTGTTCCCACCTTGAACGAGAGGGCCTTCTTGTCCCATATCCTCACCAGTATTTCCTGTTCTAGGCTTTGATCATCCCAACAGGTATACGGTGGCATCAGTTCACTAGTTTGCAGTGCCCCCAGTGACAAACGGCTTTCTGTCACAGCTTGCTCTCTGCATGCCTTCCTTGATGAGGTGTCTGTTGAGTCTGACCTGAGTTCAATCCCTGGAACTCATGGGAAAAGTTGGATGTGGCAGTGCACATCTGTTGCCCTAGCATTCCTACAGTGAGACGGGAGGCAGACGCGGGAGAATCATCCAGAAGCTAGAGGCCAGCTAGTGTCAAGTATGTCCCACAGCAGAGATAGCAGGAGAGCCACAGCCTCAACAAAGTGGAAAGCAAAACCCGACTCCCGAAAGTTGTCTTCTGACCATATGCATGCCATCACACACACACACACACACACACACACACACACACACACACACACACACACGCACACACACACACACAACATACAATAATAGATAAATACATTTTAAAAGTAAACAGTAAGCAGCCCCTGTCAACTTTGGTCTTTTAAGATTGAGCTGATGTGTTCATTACCTTTTGTTACTGCGATAAAACACTACATCCAGGGCGACTCAGAGAAGGAACCCTTTATTTGGGCTCACAGTTCCAGAGGGACATGGTCCACAGTGATGCAGGGGCGTGGCATCAGGCAGCTGGAGTGAGATGCTAACAGCTCGTATTTTCAAATACAAACATAGAGACAGACAGAAGGGGGTGAGGTCATGGACTCCCAAAGCCCGCCCCAGAGACATACTTCTCCTGCCTCCCAAAGGGTAGGGTCCGCTACTCCCCAAACAGTGTTACCAATTGGAGAATGATAATTACATGGTCCCGGTGGGGGGGGGGAGCTGTGGGATCATGTGGGAGACAGTTCTCATTCAGCCCACGCAGCCATCTATTCAACAAATATTTGCTGGTCATCTTTACATTTTCACTGGACAAACAACAGATTTAAAGAACACCACGCCTGCAGCCGCTTCCCTTTCTGAAGGTAAACACCAGCTGTTTGTCTCATCCCTCACAAGGCAAAGGGCTTCAAAGAGACATAAGGAAATCACACCTAAAGCTGTAACCTTACCACTGTTACACCATAGAAAAAGTGGAGTTACATGGTACCCGGTAGTGTACGTACACTAAGGCAAAGGTCGCTGTTCTGATGGGAATGGGGTGTAAACAGCTCCAAGGAGCTCATGACTTAGAACAAGCTTAGTTGAGTCTTCTGCAATGTGGCTACAATGCTGGTTAATCCTGGTCAGCCTCAGGGATGTATAGATATGGTGTCTACTCATAGGGGCTGTGCACATCTGTCATTAGAGCATGACAAAGTCAACTGGGTGTGGCGGTGTGGGCCTACGAGGACTCACCCGGGCCAGGTGAGCGTCCTTACTGCTAAGGCCAGGTTAGTCTGTCAGCAACAACAGGAGACGCAGCCTGTGGACCTCTTACCCCTACATGATACTGTTGCCTTCTTGGCTCAAGGAGGAGATCTTTCCAGAAGCCTTCACGTGGGCGTGGCCAGGATCTGCAACCTACTCGGGGTAGAATCACACTGAAGTATCTTAGCCATTTCTGTGTACATGGTTTTGTAGCTTCTGATGTCATCTTGTTCAAATGATGTAATTTACAACCAGGTTCAGAGATTAGCAAAGGTCAAAGATTCAGTTTTAAATGATCTGTTCTCTTACTGTAAGGAGTTACCTCCCGTTTTTGTAGATGAAACTGAAAGGTAGTTTATGGTGTATTGTTGGGTTTATGAGGGGTACCGATAAGGACAGTCAAAGGTCATGGGGTGAAGACATCCCTAAGCCTGGCTCTTCAGCTGGTAATGCCTCTCCTCTTAGCTGTCTCTCAGTACTGACTCGGCCAAGGCAGCCTAAGTGGGTTTTGTTGCTTGTAGGACACCATGGGACTGAGGGGTTTCCTTCCCTCCCCGTCTGTGTCCTCTGTTTCCTGTTATTTTGCCTTTACTCCGTGGTACATAAGGAGACTTTGTTTTAGAAAACAAAACACAAACAAAAAGTTAATTATATAGTTTCAATTAATCCTTAAAATAATCCCAAAACATGGAGATTAACCTAATTTACCGGTAAGGGAACTATAGATCAGTGAAGCTAAGTAGTTTGTAAAATACCAGCTAAACAGAGTTCCAGCCAGATGTGGCAGTGCGTGCTGAGCAGCCGAGAAGCCAGAGCAGAGCAGCCGAGAAGCCAGAGCAAGAGGATTGTGAGTTTGAGGACAGCCTACGGTGTATGACGAGAATCTGCCCCCACCCCAAAAAACACTCTGCCTACGAAACTTAAGGAAGGGAGAGTCCGGGGCCACAGCTCATCGTGTCGGGGAAATCACAATAGCAGGGATGAGAGATGGGGGCACATCACATCAACGGTTGGGAAACAAAGAGAGATGGACGCTGGTTCCCAGCTTGCTTCTTTATTCTGCTCAGGATCCCTCCCAAAGTTACACTGGGTCTTCCCACCTCAGTTAACTGCACCAAGATCTCCCCTCCTGGACAAGCTCCAAGGTTACCCCGTTATCTAGATTTGATAGCACAGGTCTCACTAGACCAGATCTTATAGATGTGCCTGCAGCCCACCCCCTACGTGATTGGAGAGCCTCTCCCGTCAGCACTCAGGTTAATAATCGTCATGGTATCAGAGGCAAAGACAGAGACCCTTGCAGACAAGGTGTGCCAAGCTGTGCCAAGTTCAAACAGGATAAACAGAGGGCTGTGAAATACAGTTTCCCATCCTGGACACTAGTTGACAATGGAAATAGGAATCTAAGGGGAGGCAGGAGCCTGGAATCACAGGTGTGGGGTTAGGATGACAGGTGTGGGGTTAGGAAAACATGTCTGGCAAGTGAGAAATCGTTTCCACTGACTGGAATATGTAAAGATCTGCTTGTAGTTCTTCAGATAAATATAATATCCAATTTCAATTTTCTCTTTACTCTTAGGAGAAATAAAAACGTACAGATGGAATGTCCCCAAGAGATCAGGTCCTGGGCCCTCTGATCCTAATTGTATCCCATGGGTGTACTATTCAACAGCAAACTTTGTGAAGGTAAGGTGGAAACAGGAACCGGGGTGTTTGCAAGTTGACTTTTGAAGTCATCCCCACTCTGTAAGAGAGGTCTCAAACAATTGTTCACTGGCTAAATCCGGCTGCGTCTATTCCTCATCATCATCCATGTGTGCGGCAGAGGCAGCATGGCCCACAAAGCAAAAACTAAAAATATTTGGTATACAATGCTTTATAACTATTTTAGGTTTTCTAACTGCTGGTATAGGAATATAAAAATGAAACACTATTTCATTTCCAAGTATGGAACCTTCAAGATAATTTTAATCACATGAGAATATGCCAGTTTGAAAGGAAACGAGTGTCCCACAATAGAATTTGTTTATGATCTGGGGAGGTGGGAAATCTTCCTCCTTTTAATTGCATTTATGTATGTGTGCATAAACCCATGTGCATGCCACAACACATATGTAAAGGTTAGAGCACGACAAAGTAGGTTCTCTCCTTCTACCATGTGGGTCCCAGGGATAAAGCCTGTGTCGTTGGGCTTGATGGCAGGTCCTTCCTGGCTGAGTCACCTTCCCACAGGCCAATCTGTTCATTCTGGTGAAAGGTTTCTGTATCCCGGTATTAAATCTCTCCGCTGAAGTAATAACTCAGATCAGGCCGGATTAACAAGTCCAGGTTTAATTTGAGCAATGCATTCCCTGGTGGTCTCAGGGGAAGAAGAGAAAGAGGGAGAAGCTTGTGGTAAGTAGGGGACCATGTCCTAAATAGCCTGTAGGCGTGGTCCTGGGGGAGGAGCTGCAGCTTCCGAGACTGGGCAGGGTCTGGAGTGGGGGTGGGGTGAGACAGAGCTCCACCCAAACAGCTAGAAGGACTGCCTGGGCTCAGGAACAGAAGCACACCCCAAGCATAGTTGGAGAAATAAAAAGCAAAGATTCAGTGATGACTTTGAGTTACGTACCGGTTGTATGTAATCATATGACATAAAACAAAACCGAAACCAGAGTCACATCCTATGCAAAACAGGTAATGAGTTTTAAAGTGAGGCATTATCTTCACCTTCCCCCCTTAGTGGTGTATTAGATGTTGGAAATTAGTGTCCTAGAGTTCAGGAGATTAGCGCACGGGTCATTTGGAAAAGTACATTTGTATATGAGAAGCAGGGGAAACTTCTTTGTTTATTCAATTATGCGTCCCAGATGTCTTACTTCCTTGTGTTATGCAAGTTACAAATGGTAGTGGGATGAGCCAGGGCAGGAGGGGCCGCGCAGCGGTGTGCACACTGGAGTCCGGCCCGTGGAATGGACGTGGTTGTTTCCTTCCTCCCAGGATACGTACAGCGGTTTGATGGGGCCTCTGATCACATGCAGAGAAGGGGTGCTGAACGAAAACGGGAGGAGGAGCGACGTCGACTATGAATTCGCTCTGCTATTCCTGGTCTTTAATGAGAATGAGTCCTGGTATCTGGACGACAATATTAAGAAGTATCTCAACAAAGATCCCCGGGACTTCAGGCGCACCGACGATTTTGAAGAGAGCAACAAGATGCATGGTATGCAGGCCCTTAGAGAGAGCTGCTGTTGAGACAGGCCGCGTTGAGACTCCAGCCCCCTCCCCTGAGCCCTTCTCCCCTCCAGGGATGCCTGGGTAGAGCTAGAGTGAGCCAGTCTAACCAAGAGGCTCTGGGCCCTTTGTTTAGGGACAGCTGTTGCTGAGATCTTTCGGCTGTGTAGAAATCATTTTTCAAGATCAAGTTTTCACTTGTCGGTTAAGTTTTAATGTGAATCTATCGCAGCTTCTGTGTGGTCAACATTAATTCTCTGAAACATGAAATGTCACCCATGAATTTTGTTTAATGTGAGTATGGGCAGGGGTGATGTATTTGCAGGGACGCACCCTCTCACCGAGATCTATATTTAAAGGTGGACCTCCATCCAGGTGTAGTGGATTACTACAGGGCGGCAGGATCCCCCATCAGAAGCAGACACCTCTCATCATGCTAGCAGTGTCTTAGCATGCTCTCTGTCCTCAGCAAGTAGAGCTTACTTGGTTGCTCCATGACGCACAGGCTGAGAGGTTGGTAGGAAGGACATCAGCCTGCTTTGCTCACACTGGGGTCTGTTCAGCCCGCTCTTTTTAGACACTCAGTTGGGCTTATTCTAGTTTTTAGGAAATGAAATATTAACGCTGCAATGGACATAAATCCAAGTGGATTCAGGGATGTGTCCATTGCATACACATATGTTTTACACACACACACATGCGTGTGCTAGTTTCTTTGTGGCTTAGTGTACTCTTGTAGAGTATGGGATAAATCTAAATCTGACTTCCTGTCAGCACACCTGCAGTCTGCTTCCCAAAGAGGCATACGGAATAAATAGGCGCCTTGTTACTCTGCAAGACAAACTGGGAGGTCTCTTTCCCAGATCCCTACATGCAAAGATTTCTTGGTTATCTGAGTTTTGGGTCTAGAATGGTGGGGGCATTGGAAAGTGCTGAGTGAGGCTGGCTCCTATCCATCAGGCAGGTGTGAACACGAGTAGCCCAGCCCTTGAGCTGTTCCTACCATTGGGGTAAGCGGCACCTCCATTGACCTGAGGGCATTTTATTTTCATCTTCGTAGCCATTAATGGAAAGATATTTGGAAACCTCCCTGGCCTCATAATGACTGAAGACACAATGACTAACTGGTATTTGCTGGGACTAGGAAGCGAAGTGGACATCCACACCATCCATTACCATGCAGAGAGCTTTCTGTTCAAAGTAAGTATCGGGAGACTTTGGAGGAACGTTAGGGTGTTTCTGACAGGAAGGGACTTGGTGGGCAATAAGGCCTATGAGGGGAGAACAAGGCGTCCACACTCTGCTCTTGGTCTGTGGTCCTTAATGTTTACAGCTATATACTTTCTTGTAACCCACCAACCTCTCTGGGTTTCAGATGAGAGTTTTGCCATCTGATCTGGCCACAACTGTGACCACCCTGGGGTATGCTGTTAAGACTGCTTATGAACTCCCATGGTGTTCGGGGCTTCCCCTGGCCCTTCCTTCCCTCCCTTCCCCTCCCCTCCCCCTCCCCTCCTCTCCCCACCTCTCCTCTCCCCCCTCCCCCTTCTCCCCCTCCTCTCCCCTCCTCTCCCCACCTCTTCTCTCCCCTCCTCTCCTCCTATCCCCTCCCCCTCCCCTCCCCCTCCCTCCTCCCCTCCCCTCCCCCCTCCCCTCCCCCTTCTCCCCCTCCTCTCCTCTCCCCTCCTCTCCCCCTCTCCCCTCCCCTCCTCTCCCCTCCTCTCCCCTCCTCCTTTCTTTCTGCCCCTGCCTTCCCCATTTCTTTTTCTCCTTGAGTAGTTAGCAAGACAGCTCTGTCTAGTAAAGGATATTATATTTTGAGCTCCAGCTTCGTCTTGATCCCTGGAGATGTTTAAAGAACATGCCTCACCCAAGACCTGATGAATCAATGTTTAGGGACAAAGTCCCTGCCATCTTGGGTTCTGGCACTTTCTACAAGGAAGTGGAAAGACTACCAATTCTGAGACTCAAGGAAGCAGGGCCACGTCCATGCTGGTGTACAGGAGTCAGCAGTAATCTACTGAAATGTCTGTGTTTCAAAGCAATCAGCATTAGCCAGCAGTGATTAAAGTGTCACAGGCTAAATAGTTTTCAGAAAGTGCACATTTTAAATAAAAATAAAAAAATCATAAAAAGCTCATCTAAACATCACATATGTTTAAAATGAAGATTTAATTCACATTGCATAGAATTGCACTTATTGTAAGGTTCTTGGTTTTTGTTAGCACGGAGGGGTAACTAGCAATCAAACCAGAGAATCTCCACCACCGCAACCCACCACACTACCCTGGAGGACACTTCAGAGCCCATTTGGCTAGCATCATTCTATTTCTGTCTCTGCTATAATGGGAATATGTTCCCCAAAGTCACATGCAGGACACTCGATCCCCAGTCCTCTCTGTGTGGGCAGGTGCGGGGGGTAGGGTGGGGGGCGGTGATCAGTTCCAGGGTAGAGCCCTTGTGAATAAAGAGATGCCAATCCTGTCGCTGAGGCTGCAAACTTGACCAGTCGCTCTCCAATTGTATCTTTGTCATGGGGGCAAGAAAGCACCTGCCAGGTCAAGCCCCTCCGTCCTGGACTCCCAGCCCCCAAACCACAAGAAATCCCTGCACCTGGGCCTTCCAGGTGGCTCACCAGGCAAAGGCGCTTGCCCTGGAGGGTTGATGATGCTAGTTTGACCCAGGACCACACTGAGCCAATTCCCTAGAGCTGTCCTCTATCTCCACACATGTACTGTGGCGTTCTTATGCACACACACACACACACACACACACACACACACACAGAGAGAGAGAGAGAGAGAGAGAGAGAGAGAGAGGCTAAATTCTAAAAAGAAATTAAAATAAAAGATTTTACAGCTTATATCTGAGTTTCAATATTCTGAATATTGTGTAGAAGTCATGCAACTTGCAATATCCCAAGCCTGGCTTGTTTTGCTCAGCATAGGTATTTGGTCTCATATATGTGACAACTTTGTTTTACTTGATGGCTGAGCTGTATGTTATATGAGCTGTATATGTATTTAGTGCAGTTTACTAATTTTCCCAGTAAGGACTGTTTCCAAGTGTTTCCAAGGAGGGTCAAAGTCATTATAAATAGATACACATGTTTTTGCATAAAACCAAGTTTTTATTTCCTAGAGAAAATGTGTGCAGAATTGCTAAAACATACGGTAAATGTGTAATTGGAGTTTTCTTTGGGCTGCCAACCAACTCCCAGATACAGACACAGAGACTTATTACTAATTATGAATGCTCAACCTCAGCTAAGATTTATCCTAGTAGCTCTTTTAACTTAATTTAACCTATTTCTTTTCATCTACATTTTGCCTTAGAGTTTCTTCCTTTTCTTTCATTCTGTATGTCCTACTTTCCTGCTTCCTCAGTGTCTGTCTGGCTCCTCCTGGTGTCTCCCTGGCATCTCCTTTTCCTTTTTCTTTGAGCCTAAATTCTTCCTCCTACTTACTCTCCCTGCCCGGAAGTTCCATGAACACCTCATCCCTTGCAATTGGCTTTTTATTAGACCAGTTAGGCACCTTTGGCAGGCAAGGTAAAACAGTAACACATCTTTACATAGTTAAACAAATATTCTGCAACGTAAACAAGTGCAATACATCTTTACATAATTAAACAAATGCAATATATATTTGCATAGTTAATCAAATATTCTGCAATATTTCCCCCTTTTTGTCTAAATGTAAAGAAAGATTTTAGCTTTAACACTGTAACTCTATATATAAGAAAAACAATTATCAAGTAAGAATTACATTTACAATATCCAGTCCATTGTATTTGGCAAATTCAGAGAAAATACTCCATTATCTATCCTACCCTGATGAGTTTAAAGTCGTGTACCTAACTTACTTTCTACCTCAAAACATTTTCTTAGATAAACAATTTAAGCTGCTATATTTCTCAACCTTATAAACTTTACATCTCTTATGTAAATTCCTTTTCTGAACTTGCTAACAAGGAAAACATAACTACAGCTATCTTGTCTAGAAGAATTTGTTTAGGATTGCTATGACTCTTCGGCTTTGTGATTGGAGTTGTCAACAAAGCCATTTGGACTTATTGGAAGGTGTTAATGTGATTTGTGTTTACTTTTTACAATCAAACTACTCAGATGATCTACTCCCTTAGTCACAACACTCCAGAGGCAGGGGCAGGAGGATCTCTGTGAGTTCAAGGCCAGTTTGGTCTACAGAGTGAGTTCCCAGGCATCCAGGACTATATAAAGAGATATTATGAATTTTCGCTTGCATGTATGTCTGTACACCATGGGTACACCTGGTGGCCACAGATATCAAAAGAGGGCACTGGATCCCCAGCACTGGAGTTACAGATGATGGGGTACAGCCATGTATGTGCTGGAACTTGAATCCAGATCTTCCGCACGTGGCCGTAACCACTGAGCCGTCTCTCTAGCCTCAAGCTATTTCTTCTTGAGGTGGCTTTTGATAGCTGTGTCCTTTAAAATTGTTTACAGCCTGTAAGTTCACAGACAACGACTTATAGCTAAGATCTCGGTGCTGTTCCTTTTCTTTCCTTCCCTGTAGCTGTAGTTCTGTCTTCTCCATCCATCTCTCCCTCCCTTCCCTTCCCCTCCCCTTAGTCAATGTGTCTGGAGATTTACACTGACGTTCTATTGCTGTATAACAGATCACTCTAAAACTCAATGGCCCCAAAACAATAAAAAACTATCTTGGTTTCTCTGGGTCTAGAGGAGTGTGGCTAGTTGGCTTGGCTTTTGTGTCTCTTGTGAGGCTCTAGTTGTGAACTAGAATGGTTCAAGTTCACTTATGTGTCTGTTGACTGAAGGCTTAATTTCCTCTGAGTATGATAAGGGAGCTGGCTTCACCCAGACTGACTCATCTGGGTGAGCAAGAGAAGACTAACTCATCAGCTACGTCCTTTTATAGCTTCTGCGGCCATATACCATATACCACACACGTGCTAACCTCATACAACTCAAGAGGGAACTGTGAAGGCTATGAGTATCAGGATAAGAGAGGTTTAAAGGCCACTGTAGATGCTCACACTACAAGTTTATCAAGTTTATGTGTTAGAAACACACGGCTTTACCTCCCTTCGTCTCTATTGTGCTCTGTCCTTGCTTTCAATGATTTTTGCCTTTTCTTTCCTTCCTTCCTTCCTTCCTTCCTTCCTTCCTTCCTTCCTTCCTTCCTTCTTCTTACTGTGTTTCTTCACCCTCCTTTTTTCTCCTTTCCATGCTGAGCAAAAGAAGCCACGGCCTATGACGTTTGACTTTTGCAGATAGATAAGTCCTACCGAGAAGATGTGTATGATCTCTTTCCCGGGACGTTTCAAACCATTGAGCTGTTTGCTGACCACCCAGGGACGTGGCTCCTACATTGCCACGTGTCTGACCACATTCATGCGGGCATGGAGACCACCTACACTGTCCTCAGGAACATAGGTACTGTCTGTCAGTGGGGCCAGCTCATGGCACCAATCTTCCCATAGACCTGGGAAACCGGAGGCAGGAGAAAACATGGGCACAGATCCCAAGGGGCTCAGAGTTAGAAGACAGATAAGTGAACGCGTGATCACAACGGAGAAAGGTGTGCAGAAGAGCACTGGGTGGAGAGGTGTTAGGAGGAGGGTGTGTTTGATAGTTTGGGGCATGGACCAAGGCATATGATGCCATGATCTAAAGAGTTCCCTCGAGGAAAGTGGAGGGGGCAGAATTTGATATTGGAGTGAAATAGCCCAGTAGGAATTTAAGAAAGGTAAAACGTCATGGCTTTCATGTACCACGAAAAGGGTTTCCGTTTATAAACAGTCAACTCATATGCATATATGTATTTATATTTGTCCAGACAACAGGGTTCCATATTCCACCAAGTCCCCCTCTGGAGCAGGATCACATGCATCCACAGTGCCTTCCTCCAAAGGTAATGACACCCTCTCCCACCCCGTGTGAGTGCTCCAGTGTTTCCCTCCAAGCGGAGGCAAGCACCTGATGCCTCGCTTTTCTCCCTCACAGAACAACCTGGCAACGAAAATCTCTATTTCTTTGGCAAGAATCTGAGCCCAAGAGGAGCCAAGGCAGCCCTGGTCATCCTTTTCATCCTGGGACTCCTCCTCCTGGTTATCACGGTGATCCTCTCCCTCAGACTCCATTCTGCAAGGAGGCAGGTGGCTTACAGGGAAGTCCAGTCCTGTGCCCTCCCGACAGATGCTCTGTGAATGCTCTGGCCTTCCTCAGCAGGACAGGTCGGGTTCCGTGGCTGGCCACACAGTGGCTAACAGGGACACTGGACCAATGCATTGTTCACCAAGGAACTTTGACCCTGGATCCCAGGTCAGGCTTCCTAGCCTCTGGAATGTCATCCGAAGCAATGTGCTTTTATTTATTTATTTTTTAACTGGCTGTGAATGATTCTCAGGTATAAAATAACATGAAAGAGCAGAGTGTACTGGGTTGAGAAGTGCCTGTCACCAGCCTGTTTTGGGAACAACTCCTGGAAGATGTTTTCATAATTTTAAACCAAACAGCACCTCCTCGGCTAGCCACCAAGTTTTCGGAAGGAGTAGCTTCTAGAAAACGTTCGAGGGTGAATGGGTTTCTGAGGAGTTTGTCGGGATGTCTGAGGCAGTACGAGCTGACAGAAATGGACCACATGAATCTTTCAGAGGCTTCCAGTCGCTCTCCCGGCCTTTCCCCTTTTAATGCAGAGAGCCTGGGCATTGTTTGTTACACAAGCCAAAGTCATATGGTTATTTATTTCATTGCTGCTGTTTTTCATTCAACCTGTAGGAATACTTGAATGTTTACAATTCGCTTCATGCTACATTTTTACCACTTGCTTCCTTGGCAATGTCTGTATTTTCAAAAATCAACTAGAGGATTTTTATTTCAGGATACGGGAGGGCTAGACTCTGCGCAGGAGCAGGCTTGACTCTTCTCTGTAAGCCCAAGACTCCCTGTGTGGGCTCGAACCCTGAGTTTGACTTTCGATTCAATTAGGGGGCATTTTCCCACACCTCCATCTTCTGTGAGAGTTACCATTTCACCATGTGAGGGACGGCAAGAGGCGGACATCGACGCAACTGACTGGCTGGGAGGAGAAGGGACCTCTTACAATCCTGCATCCCATGCTCATTAAAGACATAACCCTTGAAGGGAGGGAGGGCAGCCAGAAAGGGGAACCCTGGTGGTTTTTAAACCATCTGGAAATGAGTATTATAGCTGCCAAGACTCACAGGCCAAAAGGGAACACCGAAGAACAAAGCATGGAAAGATACAAAGCATTCTCTCTGCGGGGACCCTAGACATAAGATGTAAGGTTGAGAAAAGCAACATTGTTTATTACTAGGCTGGGGAATCGACCTTAGCTCAGGACAAACTGTCCTGGGATGCTGTGGCCAGACACATGATGTTAGACCTCTGCTTAGCAGTGGGTCACTTGAATTTCTAGGTGAACGAGTAGGACCTAATAAATACTCCGGTGAAGGGATCTGTCACGCTTTACTTTTTATCTTCTCGGTGAGGGGAAAATGATAGAAACCACATCTTACGTGGGACAGCTGCAACTGCTAACACGTCCTGTTTGTAGTCTGCTGGAATGCCTTGCCAATCAGGGCACCCACATGGGTTTGGATTCCAGCCTGCTGAGCACTGACAATGTGATTTTGTGGCTTACTCAAGTACCTGCTCGACTAGGCTGTACGACTGCATAGGAAGTGTGGTGAGCACCTCTGGCTTACCTTTACCACAGCCGAAACTGTTTAGTCGTAAAAGTTCTTTTTTCAGTTTTTTTTCCAATGAACACAAACCACAAGGTGTCTTTGTTGTTGCACTATTCCTCTTTTTAATAAAGTTTCATATATTCTAAAATGGCAAATTTGCATCGTTTGTTCTCACTCAGAATCTCCTGTCATTAAAAATAAAGTGGTTAGGACAGAGCCATTGGGGCTGGAGAGATGGCTCAGCGAATGAGCACTGGCTGCTCTTCCAGAGGACCTGGGTTCAATTCCAGCACCCATGTGACAGCTCACAACTGTCTGTCACTCCAAGATCTGACACCCTCACATAGATGCACATGCAGACAAAATACCAATGCACACAAAACATAAGTTATTTTTAAAAAGAGCAGAACCACCTTAGATACGTATTCTCTGAAACTATGCTATGTATGTCCATTAAAGGGAACAAAATCGTATATCACCACAAATACGACTCCTCCCCTGTGGTCCCTCCTGACACTCAATCTCACCCTTCAGAGATAATCACCAAAAGCAGGAACAGGCTTTTTCCACTTGAGTCTGGACTTCACCTCCTTTTGCTTTCTCAAAGACTCCGATCCCCTCTATCACCAGTTTCTTTTTTTCCTTCTACATCGTTCTAGGAGCTAAATGCCAGCCATGTCCACTATTAAAAATGGAGAGCAAGGAGCAGTCTTCCTTAACTCATCGTCAGTGTCTCTTCAGTGCAGTGTGAAGAACTTCCCACACCTGCTCCTGTACTCTTTAAGTTACATCCATGGCCTGCAGTCATCCAACCAGTCAGGGAGCCCAGCCCTGCACCCCAGCCAGGTGTCATCAACAGGGTATCCACAATGCCCTTTCTTACTTTCCTCTCAGCTCTAAGGGACAGTTCCTGCCTTCTGGACAACCTTCTAGTCCTCTGGCTCTGCACCACGACTCCCCAGCTGTTGCCACTGCCGGTCAGGCTACAGCTGTCCAAATCAGCAACTGCAGCTCTACTGCTATTGGCGGTGGGTATGCCTGTCCCCGCGGGACCAACCCTTTCAAAGTTTCCAAGCCCCTCTAAGTAACTCAAGATTCAAAGGCTGAGGTGGGATTCTGCGCCTCAGAGAGGCAGAACGGCAAATTGCTCCCCTCCCCTCCTCCTTTCCTCTCAAGGAGCCTCATGCTTGTCCCCACCCTCCTCAAAACCCCTTCTCCCCCTGGCTCCTCCCTACCACTTCCTGTCAGCTGGTAGACACATCTTTGCATCATTAAACAAATGTTCTAGAGCATAAACAAAAGTAACACACTTAAAATAATATTCTACAGCACCCAGACTTCCTTCCCTTCCATTTTTATCTCTTCTCATACTTTGTCTAGTTCGTCTCCTGACCTCCAAATGTGGGTACCGCCCCCCCTAGAACCTGACGCCCAGACCTTTGTGCTCCTTTACCTTTTAAAGCATTATAATTTTAGTATCCTTATTAGTATGTGTGGGAGTGCCATGGCATGTAGAGACCAGAGGACGGCTCTCAGGGGTCATTTCTCCCCTCCCATCACAGGTTCCAGGTTGGACTCAGGCTTTCAGGCTCCTGACGCAATACCTTTCTCCACAGAGCCTTCCTACAGGCCCTTCGTTATTTTCACTGTAAGCAATGCTCCTGAAGAATCCATACCCTCATTTCCGAAGCTCTGGATGAGATCTTGGAAAGGGGTTTGAGGTGTGCGATGAGCTAAGAGTCTTGATGATGGAGAGTTTATCTTGGGTTATCCTTAAATGTAGCCACAAGCATCCTCATAAAAAGACAAGCAGTTGTTGGGTCTGTGTCTCAGCAGAAGAGTTCTTGCCTAGAATGTATGAGGCCCTGTGTTCAACCCCAGCCTTACAATAACATAAATTGATAAAGCAGGGTGTGGTGGCTCCCATCTTTAAACCTAGCACCTGGGAGTCCGAGGCAAGGGAATCTCTGTTAGTTTGAGGCCAGCTTAGTTTATATAGTGAGTTCCTAGAGTAGTCTTAACTGGTCAAAAGTAAATAACTAAAATGATAAAATAAATTTAAAAATAAGATAATAAAGTAAAACTTGGATTGCATGACTACACGAGACACTGTACTCCTAACTTCAGGGATGGGTGAGGATCATGGGATGCAAGGCACACACGTGTAGAAACTGTAAAAGGTCCAGATGTACCCTCTTGAAGGCTCTCCTGAGACACGTGTCCTTACTTACCAACACCTTGACGTTTATTTCAAACTTGAGAGTTCCAGAGTGGTGGAAGAACCAGGATCACGGCATTTGCTGTCCTTCTGCAGTCCGATCTGTAGTCTCAGTTGTTCATTCATGGATGCTAATAGACTCTAAGTGTTTTCTCTAACCTTGACTTTGATCGCAGGTCCAAGGGCCTGTTTGGTTGGGTCATTGCAACAGCTCCCTGTACAATGCTACCCTCATGCCTTCCTGGCCCTGTCCACAGAGCTGTCTGTTGCTATGCTCTTCCAAATCTGTCCAGGTCACTTCCTGCTGAGTATTGTAACATCTCTCCATTACACTTTGAATGGCCCCGGGCTGGTGGGGCCCATGCCCACCTCTCCAGCTTCTGGGGTTCTCCTCTGCCCCAGCTTTTTATCCGTGGGAACTCTTGACTCAGAGCCCCACACTGCTCCTCTCTGACTTTTATTCTCTTTGCTCTCTCCAGGATCCCATTGCTCTTCCTTAGGTTTTCACTGTAGACATGCTTTCTCCGATGGCCTGCTCCAGTGTGGTCCCTCCTCCTCTTCCGTCCCATCCCCAAAGTTCTCCTTTGTAGCATCAGTTGTGGGACAGACTCATCTTGTCTGTTAGCTTCAGTGTTGCGTGCATCTTTGACGGGCATGGAAGGAAGCTCCCTGGAAGTGAGCACTGTTGATCTGCTTTGCTTGTTACTGCCTCTGCAGAGCAGACAGCCATGCAGTGCACTGCAGTTGCCCGGGAAATGTTTCTCCAAGGAGTACGTGCCTATGTACTCAGCGTAGGCAGCCTGGCGAGTTTGACGGTTTTCATTGCTAATGATCTTGCAATCAAATGCCAAGGATGTCAAGCAAGCAAACCAGCATTTTGGGAGGCTGGCTGTAAGGCCACACCCTACCTAGGCCACTCTGCTGCCAGGAAGGGATAGGGCCAGGGCAGACTTGATGTCATTTATTCCCCAAGTGCTCCTTATAATTATCAGGAAGCAATGTCATCACAAAACAAAGGACTTGAGAATCTCTCCCTTACACAGACACACACACACACTCACACACTTCCAAAGTGGTTCATATCCAAGTCACCACCATCACTTGCCCACAGTGAGCTCGATGCCAGAGAGTTGGGAGGGTAGCACCAAGAGAGTGACTGATTCTTTCCAGCTAGGGGAGGAGCCAGGAGATGGTCTCTAAAGGGGCCATTTCCCCTCTTGGACGAGTTGACCTTGACAGGGAGGACATCTGCATTTATGACTTACTGGTTCCTTAAAAGCAATCATTCCAGCTCTGCCTGCCCCAAACAGATTTATCCTCCCAGACCCCCTAACCTACGCATCCCCGTCGCATACCACGGTCCTTGAGAGGAAGAGAGAGGAATGGAGACTGACACTAGGTGACAGCGGTTTACTTTTTGATTGTTTGGATGAAACTAATGAAAGCACAAGCATGCCGTTTTTACTTCCCAACACTCCTCACCCATTTGGTGAAGGCATGGAGGGTCTGGAAGACGCCCTCCTGTAAGCGGATGATGGTGGTTATGCAGGTGGGGAGCTGTCAGATCTGCCAAAGAGAAGCACAATTCAGACCTCGTCGGGACGGCTACCAAGAGTGATGGGAACGCTAAAATCGGAGCACCAGGTCTCTCTCTGCCGGCAAGCGCCAATAGCAATGGTTACGGAAACGCAGAGACGGCAGTTGTGGCTAAGGTAAGGACTGTGAGGTTGACAGCCCTTACCTCACAGGGCTGTGGTCTCTGAGGATTTAGGACTAGTCTGGTGGAGAGGTATGTGTGGGCCTTGGATTTACCCCCCTTAGGCCCTGTTAATGTCACAGTCCAGAGAAGGTGTTTCTGCCTGGCCCTTCACCTCCCAAGGCAGCAGATGGTTGGATCATCTATTGCCTGCATCCTTATCCACTTCCAGTGAGGTATTCCAAATCAGCCACATACCCGCCAGCTGATACTCCTTTGCAGCCTTGGTCACAGCTTTGGACTGGAAGAAAAGAGCAGAGGACTGGACCAGAGACCAGTCACACTGCCCTCTCTCCCTCTCCCTCCCCCCCTCCCTCTCCCCTGCAGAACTCTGTAAAGGTCCAGGGCTCCCTCTATTAGGAAAAAAGAATAATGGGTTGGGACTGCAGGTCCCAGGTTCACGGTGATGATAGCGGTCCTGGGTTGGGTGGATGGACGATAGACATGACTCACACTGAAAGTTTTATTGAAGGGGAGGTAAGAAAATAAGGTATACACACACACACACACACACACACACACACACACACATGCATGCATGCATATATATACATATACATATATGTATAGAGAGAGGGGGGGGGGAGAGGACAGAAGAGGGAGACACTAAAAGTCCTGTCTGCCCCAAGGGAAAAAGCTGGAAAGAGACCGAAATGGGTGAGGGTCTCTATTTTATAGGGGTCCTTTGCATCAGTGCAGACTATTTAGCCATGGAACCCTGGGCTGACCAGATACTGCCTGAGTGCATTCTGCCAGGTGATAGGCAGGTCAACATAATGCCTGAATCCTTACACCCACTGCAACATCGGTCAACACCGCGTGTTTGTTTAGACCTTTTCATGGCACAGGCTCTTACAGAACCCGGGTTGCACCTTGGGGTATGGTGCTTGTCCAGCGGGCAGCGGTGCACTAGGTTCATCTTCAGCATCACAGGCCCACACAATGGTGGGCGAGGCTTAGAAAGGGGGTAGGTAGCTCGTGCTCAGGGAAGAGGCTACCGGCAGAAAGGCCTGGGGTGGGGAGGAGGGAAACATTTTTTAAAATCCTATGTGTTCAGAGCTCGGAGCACAGGGATGGGAGGGGCGGGATTCCCTGAGGGCGATCCTTCGTTAGTCCGGACTCCAGGGTCGGGGTGCGGCCGCGCCCACCCCGCCCGCGTAAGCGCGCTTCCGGAAACTGCTCTCTCCTGGAACCGAGTTTTCCCGCGTAGGTTCCGGAAGAGCTCGGTACTTTGAGCCGAGCGTGCAGTGCAGCCCGGGCTTCTGTGGCCGCTGGGGGCCAAGTGCTTTGTTCCCGGATCGTTGTTGCCCCTGCGCGCGCACAGACGCCGAAGTCCTGGTGTCGCGCGCAACGGGGACCCGCGAGGGCTGGGCGCAGCGTGCGAGCGCGGCAGCCGCAGCTCCGGAGCTCGTGCGCCCTGCGCAGCCTGGGGCATCCCGAGCAGCTGCGGCTCCTGTGCAGTCCCTACGGGGCGGTGCAGCAGTGACTGCCAAGGCGGTGCGATGCTGGGCCCTCCCGGGAGCCCGGGAAGGGAAAGCGGAAGCCGCGCGCCCGGCCGGTGACCCGGAGGGCCCGGCTGCCCGCTGCACCCGCGTCTGCCCTCGGCTGCCAGTCCCCGCGGCACCCGGCGCGCCGCGACCATGGCCATCGCTCACCTGGCCACGGAGTACGTGTTCTCGGACTTCTTGCTAAAGGAGCCCACCGAGCCCAAATTCAAGGGGCTGCGCCTGGAGCTGGCGGTGGACAAGATGGTCACGTGCATTGCCGTGGGTTTGCCTCTGCTGCTCATCTCGCTGGCCTTCGCTCAAGAGATCTCCATCGGTGAGGCCGGGGGCTCAGGGGCAGCCTGGGCTAGGTTGGCATTGGCTGGGGTTGGCAGGGTCTGCGAAGAGATCTCATTGCCCACAGCCGGCGTTTCCGCACTCCGCTCCGGCCCTACCGGATTTTGAGTCTGAAGGCTTGTTCTGCTCATGTGCAGTCTGGATACCTCTGTTGACCCTCCTAGTAGCATCCTTACTCCAGTTCCTTTGTCTCCTGCGCCCCATGATTGTGGCTCGGAGTTCACGTGCAGCCTGTTGCTGCTAGGTGTGCCAAGAACGGCTCTTCCTACTCCTCTCCCCGGTAATTGTGCAGTCACCTAAAATCTCACACCCGAGCAGCTGCAGGGAGGATGTAAAGACAAGCGTTCTGTGCGCACTGTGCTGTTTCACTGTGTGCGCGATGGGGAGTAACTGCCCTAGGAGGGTGAAGAGGGCCTCCCCCTAGGCCTTGTTATGAATGAAAGGTGAAGAAACGGCCTAACCCCTTCGTATAAATCCTCATTTCATGTTAATATAGTCACACGAGATCTAGTCTAGTGTTTGGGGACAGCACTCACAGGCAGGGCAGTGCCTTGCAGAGTCGCCAGGGTGGGCGGAGTGTGAATTAGCCCAGATCAATTTCACATGACTGTTACATGAGCTCAGACGGGAAGCCCAGGGGGCTGTGCCAGCCTAGAGCAGGGGCTTGCTGGGGACTCTAGGAGCTAAGGGTATGTGGGCCTGAGTCAGGTTACTACAGAGAGGCACATACTCGTCACCTGGGATAGAGAGGCCCTTGACAGGCTGGTCAACAGCAGCACTCAATAGGTAATGGTGCGGCACACAGGTTCTGAATGGAGGAGAGGAGAGGGTGGGTCTGGGCATGGATGGGGGATGAGTGGAGGAAGGGAGAGGAGGCACCTTTCTGAGAGATGAGAGAGCACTAGGAAGCACCTGGATTCCTAGCTCTTAACAGGTGTGGAGAGAAGCTTGGCCTTACCCAAGCTGTCAGCAAACCTCAGCGAGCAGATGCGAGGAGAGTAGAGATCAGGCTTGCTCAGGAAAGGGTGTGACCTTCTTTGACACCCGTGGCAGAAAGTTACCAAAGCAATGGTGGGAAGCCAGCTTTCTGTTTTCCTGGTTCTTGGGCAGGGATGATTCTGCTGAAGGGAAACCACAGAGTTGCTTGGGGCTGATGATAGCCTTCTAGCTGCCTTCTAGCTGTGGGCGGAACCAAGTGTCAGGCATCAAAGCCTGTGGAGTAAATGTCCCTGTGCTGAAGAAGCAAGTCTAAGACACCTATGTGGGCAGAGGCCAACAGAGAGGCACCGCCCCCTCCCACACATACTGGAAGGACTCCTGAGCACCTGTAGCTGTAGGGTCTGTTACTCAGGTCCAGATGAATGAACTGTGTGAGAGGCACCTGGGGGGGTATGGAGGTGGGTCCAGCTGGCAGGGCTCTGCTGTGCACTGTGGGGTATAGGAAAGGATTCTGAGGCAGGTCCTCTCTATACTTGTGGGAGTTTACCATCGGGCTGTATATTAGTCTGCTACCAGGTGATTTCCGGAGAAGACAGCAGGAAATCTTGAGCACCAGGCTGCCTGGCTCTTAGGCGAACACTCAGGCCGACACCCTCGTTTTCTGAAGGGCTCGAGTTTCAATGGCAAGGCAGGTGTGTGGATTACTGTTCACGATCAATGATTGATTTCATATAGTTTAACTGTGTGTTGTCAAAGGCTTAGCCCCCCCCCACAGGAATGCCAATGGAAGTTGTAATAACTGTGGTAATCCCAGTGTGCTGGCTACTTTTATGAAAACTTGACACAAGCTAGAGTCATTGGGAAGAGGGAACCTCAATTGAGAAGATGCCCCAGCCAGATTGATGATCTGTGGGAGGGCCCAGGTCACCGGACAGTGCTGCCACTGGGTGCGTGGTCCTGGGAGAAAGCCATGGGAGCGAGCCAGGGAGCAGCAGTTTGCATGGCTTCTGCTTCAGCTCCTGCCTCCAGGTTCCTGCATCTGTTTGCTGCCCTGACGGTGGAATCAGAGATATAAGCTGAAATAATCCCTTTTATCCCCAAGTCGGTTTTGGTTATAGTGTTTATCACAGCAATAGAAAACTTAAATAAGACAGCTAAAGATGGTGGAACCGTTTACATGAAGCAGTTTTCCCACTACACTGTCAGGGAGAGCAGCCCCAGGATGCTCGAGCATGTCTGAGTGACCCTCCTCTAGCCCTTACTCCTCCCACCCTCTCTGTTGCCTGGAATACTTCCGTCACATAGCCTGCCCGTGTGGCTGTCTCACCTGTCAGGTACTTAGTCTTTTATTGATCCATTCCTGAAGGCTGTAGAATGTGCCATGATGGAAGTAGCTTTGATTAATCCTGAAGGCTGTAGAATGTGCCATGATGGAGGTGGCTTTGATTGATCCATTCCTGAAGGCTGTAGAATGAGCCATGATGGAGGTGGCTTTGGTTGATCCATTCCTGAAGGCTGTAGAATGTGCCATGATGGAGGTGGCTTTGATTGATCCATTCCTGAAGGCTGTAGAATGAGCCATGATGGAGGTGGCTTTGGTTGATCCATTCCTGAAGGCTGTAGAATGTGCCATGATGGAGGTAGCTTTGATTAATCCTGAAGGCTGTAGAATGTGCCATGATGGAGGTGGCTTTGGTTGATCCATTCCTGAAGGCTGTAGAATGTGCCATGATGGAGGTGGCTTTGGTTGATCCATTCCTGAAGGCTGTAGAATGTGCCATGATGGAGGTGGCTTTGGTTGATCCATTCCTGAAGGCTGTAGAATGTGCCATGATGGAGGTAGCTTTGATTAATCCTGAAGGCTGTAGAATGTGCCATGATGGAGGTGGCTTTGGTTGATCCATTCCTGAAGGCTGTAGAATGTGCCATGATGGAGGTGGCTTTGGTTGATCCATTCCTGAAGGCTGTAGAATGTGCCATGATGGAGGTGGCTTTGGTTGATCCATTCCTGAAGGCTGTAGAATGTGCCATGATGGAGGTGGCTTTGGTTGATCCATTCCTGAAGGCTGTAGAATGTGCCATGATGGAGGTGGCTTTGGTTGATCCATTCTTGAAGACTGTAGAATGTGCCATGATGGAGGTGGCTTTGGTAGCCTTTGCAGACACCTGGGGCTTGGACTGCTCACTGGTCCTAACTGACCCGGCAGTGGGGACAACTACAGACACAGTCCCCCTGGAAGGAGCTGCTCGGAGATGCTCTCAACTTCCAAGCCCTGGCTCACGGTTTGCAGATTTTAATCCAGGAAGTACGGATTGTTGGCCGGAATCTAAGAACTTGAACTCAGTTGGGCAACTCCTTCTAATACTTGCACCCTGCAGGAGACAGTCGGAATGGGTTGTGACCTGGGGGTGGAGAAGGGAGGGCTGGCGCACGTGCTCTGCCAGCTCCCTCCCCGCCCATCTCTCACGAGCTTTCAATCTTCTGTACAGTGTGTGCAGGATATTGTCAAAGAAGGCTCCACCCTGTCTCCTGATTTTCAGCGCACTGAGATATCATCAAGTAGCTGCCACTGCTGTGGACATGGCTGCTGCCATGCTCTCCTACCAGGAGGAATCCAGCTGTTAGCCCAAATAATCCCCTTCCTTCAGTGGCTAGACATGGCTGGTGCTGCTTGTGTGGGCATGGGCTCAATCTCAGCTTCCCAATAGCAGCACAGCCGCAGCCCACACTCAGAAGCGAAGGGCCGGGAAGAGGGTGTGGCGGTTCAGGTGCTTGGCTTTGTCTGTGCTTCTAGAGTAGTCAATCCACGGTCCCCTTCCGTCTTCACCCACATGTGTACATCACACTTGTTACACAGACCCAGCTATGCCGGGCAACGCGTGTTTGGAGTCCTTTTCATGTCATAACACAAGTGTCACATCGCTGAGGTTTATTACTATTATTGTTGTTGTTTAGTTTGCTTACATGTATTTAACGTGTCTGTGTGTATGTGAAGGCACATGCGTGCCACACCGTGTGTGTGTGAGTGTCGGTAAGAGAACAGCTTGCAAAAGGGGTTTCTCGCCTTCGTTCATGCGGTCCCTGGGGCTCAGGCTTGAGGCTTGGAGAGCAAGTGCCTTTATCCACGGAATCGTTTCTCCTCTCGCTGGCGACTTAGTGACAGGATGAGCCCTGTAGCGTGGTATAGTCCAACCATACGTCAGCTGAGCTGTCCCCTGTACAGACACGAAAATTCTTCCCAATGTCAGCTCTGACAGTTTGCTCGCAGTAATCTCTACAGAAGGTTCCCCTCTCTTTCCTCTCACTGGGAGAAAGACGAGAACAACATCAGTTTCCAAAAAGATGAACTCATCTCTCAGAATGACTTTGCGTTCCTAAGTTTGTGTTTCAGCCAAGTATAAGAAAACACGCCTTGGGGCCTGTCTAGGCTTGACTCCTGCAAATTCAGCTATCAGACTCTGACCTCATATTAATACAGAAGCGCGGGCACAGCACACACAGACACACACACACACACAGACACACACACACATAGACACACACATATATACATACACACAGACACACATATACAGACACATACACACACAGACACACACACATACAAGCACAGACACACACATACACACACAGACACACAGATCAATAAGTGAATGTACAGATCTCTCTTTATAAGAAGCCCATTTTATTTTTTCAGCTGCACTATTACTAGAATGTTCTAACCCTTGTAGCAGGTGACCATCCATTTTTTTCTTCCTAACCATCTTCACATGTGTGATTTTATTTCACACTTTCCACCTGGTCTGTTTTGTTCTTTCAGTAAGACATGAAGATCATTATTGATACCTCCCCACTGTCTGGTGGGTTCTGTGCACATCAGTGGTCTAGTGTGGTGGTCAGGGTCACTACTGCTGTGACCAGAGCAACCTGGGGAGGAAAGGGTTTATGTGGCTTGTACGTCGTCATCACTGTTCACCACTGAAGGAAGTCGGGACAGGAACTCAGACAGAGCGGGAATCTGGAGGCAGGAGCTGACGCAG